ATAACTTGGGAAGTAGTCTTCGAAAAATTCCTTTGGGTCCGGAGGCATTGAGCAGGGAGGAGGTTGTGATACAAATTACATGTGGTGGTCGGTGGATGAACATCAATACGATCATGTCGGAAATGGTCTGAGATACCGTCCTTCTCTGCCATGATGTAGTCCTCACGCTCCTCGTCTGTGAATTCCTCGTCCATGCGGTCGCGGTAACGCTCAAGGCGCTCCCGACCTTCCCGAAAGCGACGGCAGATGGCTTTGGCCTGCGTTCCTAGGGAAGCGTCGAAGTCGATGCCTAGTCTCTTCAGGACGTTGTCCAAGTCCACGGGCAGTGGATCCCCGGTCGTCAGCTGCTGCAGCGTCCGACAGGAATCGTACCGCATTTAACCGCGGTAGCTCTGTCAAGGATAAAAGCGTTCGCGCAAATTGGGCGACGGCGGTGTTTGTGGCTGCCGTAACTACTATCTTGCGGTTGTTTACCAGAGCCAATCGTGCTGCTATGAGTGCTCCGACGACAGTCTTACCGGTGTCATAGGCGGCTTGGATGCCGACGATTGAATAGTTGGAACATCCGAGTTCAATGGCTCTCAGTCGGTGTTGCGCCAGGACTGTGCGAGCGTCCTTTATCATGACTGAGTGGGCATCGCTTGGCAAGGGTTGCACGCAATTTTCTGGTAGTGATGAACATGCAGCAGGTGTGGCTGAGTACAATCGGTTGAGCATGCGATGTGCAGGGGAGCCATCTTAAATTTGGCCGAAAAGATCCATTCGGGAAACAATCTCGTACGCGGGTTCAGCCGCGACTCAGATCCTGCCAGGGCGAATGGCGGCCGGTACGTAGTAGCTGGTGTCCACCTTCCGTCCGCAACGGGTCGCTACCTTGACTAATGTTTGATGGGCCCATGAGGGGGCTACTATTGTGGCTGACAATTCCCTGCTCACAGGGTTGACACGGGATCGGTGTATGGTGAGGCGGAATGTGGGAGGGTCCCCTTTGATCCAAAATTCGACCATTCGGCCTCTGTCCCAGCCGCATTCTGAGACCATGCCAGCAAGAACGAATTTGATTTGCAGTGGAAATACTTGGAGGGAGCGGATCACCGCTTTAATGGGGTGGGAGCGTCTATCGTCCCTTTCCGATTTATAGGCGACCCGTGCCGAGCACGCGGAGCCAAAGAGCTGGTTCATGTGATTGAACGCTAGCCGCTGGTTGGGGAGGAAATTGTCGAAGATGCTGTCGTAGTCCCTGAGCCACAATCGTTGGGATTCGTCTAGTTTGCTGACCGAGGGAGGCAGTATTCCCTCGTGTAAGTGGCATGGGACGGTGTCCCGAATAAACTGACATAGCGTCTTCCTGGCCTCCACCGATGCAGCTGGTTCGGAGAAACGTATCGCGGTAGAAAAAGTGTGCCTAGAGCGAGCTGATAACATTTCATCGTCGATTACTTCATTCATGTCGAAGGAGCAAATGGCCGGCGCTATCACGGCGTCGGGTGCTCCAGCAAAAGCTGCGGAGAATCTGGAAGGGAGCTGGTTCCCGTAGAGGATCCTGATAACGTGACCCATGACGGTACGAGATTCCTGGGGCGTAATAAAGGCGTAGTCGGCTACGCGAAAAAAGAAGCGGGCGTGGTCGTCTAACGTATGAGAACGTGAAGAGCGGGCACTGTCCCAGGCAGCCTGTGGATTACGTAAGGCCCGATTAGAAGGCTCGACTGCGTAGACCCAAACAGATCCTTGACAGAGACACAGACCAGAGTTTCATCAAATCCGCGCTTGTTGGATTGTATATTGGTAGCAATTGATCAAGAAGTAGACATCGGAGTTCATGGCGGTCGGGCCGGTTACCAGAAAGTCCTTTGATTCGAGGATGACGCCTCGACCTCAGTTGACAGCGACGACTTGGTATAGTACAGGTCGACGGTGGCGGACTGGCGGGGGTAGCAGAAGAGTGGGATTTTCGCCGTCGGGTGTGGGTGGAAGAACATTTTCGGTACTGTGAGAGTTCCCGCTGAGAAGTTTGTTTATGATACTCTGCGAATGATGGCGGAAGGCGACTGCGGCTTCTAAGGTTTGTAGCTCAATGACCGGTATGCGCTCGGACGTGCCCACAAGAGAATGTCGACGAAGGGGAAGAGGGACTTGGTGAACTGGTAGCGCAGGTAGCTGGAGTCGGGAATGTGGCAGTAGTCCTGGTCTGGCATCTCATTGGTGATATCACTTTCGCGAAGGGCTGACAAGTTGAGGGTTCGGGGGAGGATCAAATGACCCCAGGGGCGAACGTGAATGAGTTTGCGTGTGCGTGTGCATAAAAACAGGAGAATTTTCGGTACTTTTCCGTTATCCGGACCCATTTTTTCAAAAAGCTCTTATAAAATACGTTCGGTAGTTCAAGTGCAAATTTTCATAGATTCTACGAGGACTGCCTCCCTGCCACGTGTCAGGAAAAAATTGACATGTTCTAGTCCACTTTGAACGTTTTTTCGAAATCATTTCCGGTGAGGTAAAAGAGCATTTGTAACCACTGAGAAGCTTTCCAGCTGATTTACATAAGAGCAAAACAATCTAGAACCATTACTAGAATATCTTGCTTGCTTCTAGCAATGATTCAAGAATGTATTTCTCTTCAAATTTTCCGCCATGCGAGTTTAGCCAGAAAAGTCTACAAATGATCGCTTGAAGTAGTATCTCGCTGCTGCTTTTCGCCGCTTAGGTGATGGAACCCTAGCGCACTTTTCTATTATGGGCACGTCTGGTATGTTCATTGATAAGAGGGCGACGTCATTATTATAACAATGTCATTTTTGAAATTGTTTAATCGAAAATAGGGTCATTATTGACCAAAAAAGGTTGAACATATGTCGCTAGGTAGGGCAACGTGAACTCTTGGTAAAATTTGTTAAGCATGAAGGTGGCATGTCAAATTTTTTTGGCACGTGGCAGAAGGTTGACACTCTTTCCTATGAAGTTGGAAACAAATATGGTGCAGGGAAAGAAGCAGTATCCTTCTTTGCAAAAATGGATCCGGATAACGGAAAAGTACCGAATTTTCATACCAGTACAAATGTTATTCAAGAGAACAGTGAGAAAAAATTAGCGCAAAAGGAATCAAAGTGTGGTGTGCTTGCGAATGTAGAAGGAAGGAGGAAAGAACCTCAGAAATTGTAGAAAAAAACTTCCAAATGAGAGAATTAGAATCTGACAATATAAGACAAAACTAGTCTTTCAGAGGGGGACGCGAACATGAGTAAATTAAGTATGTATCATTAAATATAGCAAAAATGGCGGCAAATTAGTCAAAAAAGGATTTTCTTATTGAAGTGAAAGAAAATGAAAAAAAAAACGACTGCAACACCACAAATACTTCAAAAATTAATAAAAACGAAACAAAAAACATAAAGTAATGACTCACCGTTCTGACGCGGGCGGCCTAAGCTGGCGAGGAGTGCGCAGATGGCATGCGTTATCAAGCTTACGATCATGCCGGCTCATGCTAGACGCTAGATCGATTGAATATCTCGCATACAAGGCTGCCGTTTATGAGGGAACAAATGAGAAAATACATTACTCGCTCAAATACAATACGAAAATAGCTCGGGATAGGCGCGAAACATAAAGGATTGTAAACTTCGAACTAAATCGACAACATATCCCGTAAATACCTGATTTGTTATCTTTTCATGGAGCAGGAGAAATGTAAATGGCCTGTTACCACGAGGTACCTAGATTGAGAGCAAATGAGGCAACTCTACTGGACTCCATCAAAACATAACTCGCAGCCGCCGGCAACACAAAACTAACCTTTACTTTGGGCGAACGCCTAGCCAAAACAAGAGTTCTTTAATCCGCGAGGAAACACAATTTCAACCCGGGGAGAACGCAGGATACCTTCCTGATAATACGCTGGGCACAACACTGCAAACGACACTTACTTCCTCGGTGTTCTATTTCCACTCGGTCCGGACAAACCATCACTGAGTGTAAACATTGCATTCAGCATAAAACTGCTGACCAAAAGAAACTCCAGCAAAAGAAAATTGCTGAATCCCGGGAATAAACTGCTCGAGAAAAGAAAATTGTATTTTATCATTTTAGTTCAAAACTCTATTGAGTTACCAGAATTTCACGAGATCTGCGCGCTTAGATCAAGGAAAAGGTAACTGAAGAACAAACTTATCACAACTGTCTTTTCTCGAAAAATTCGTAATACCGACTGGGAACCCACCAGGGCGAAAGCAAAACTACGAAGAAACTTACCTTCCCTTCGTGGCAGTGGAACTGTTCCCGATGGCCATAAGCGCTGTCGCCCGATTAAGCTCACGGCCTTCGGAGCAAACAAGATGGCCAGTCCTATTTGTTCGTTTAAGGTCGGAAGGAGAAACTTACGGATCGTTTATAGCGAATCGGAACCACCAGGGCAAAACTACAAAAAAGAACTTACGTCCCCTCCGTGGCGGTGGAACCACTCGCTGCTATCACTCAACGTAACGCCGTAGAAGCGGCTCAGGCTTGTAGATACCCGAACACTAGATGTACAAATAGTTTATCTGTCATGACATAAAGTAGGAATCAAGCAATACGTTAAGGCGATCAAATACAACAACATGGATCATGAATTACTGGTCGAGCAGGCATCAACCTGTAACAGCGGAGGGGTAGCTCGGGCAGCCAGTCGGCGTCCTGGTCGCTAGCTCGACTCCTTCGGCTTCGCATTCTCGATCACCCCCCGAACAGATGAATCATTACTTTTTGCATTTCTTCTGATGTTTACATTCCTACAGAATCCTACAGGCTCACGCCGCTACCGTTGCTTACATTTGGAATCAGTGTTCCATGCTCTATAAGACAGAACACATTTAATTTGAAAACTCTACTTCGACCGAGTACCCTTTCAGTATAAATTGGTGGATATCACTGTGTTTTCAGAACAGTACGGAGCACACATACTGCAAATTTTTCTTTTATAGATTTTTTAATCAGCAAAAGCAGTAGTCTTTTATTTTCAGAGCCCGTTGCAGTCAAACGTCTTCCCAGAAAAACAACGTTCGTTTTGATGAACGCATTTTCGCCGACCAGAACAGGTAATGCAGTCATTTCGATTCATTCATTCTTCATTTATTGTTAAATATGCCTGCAAGTTCCCACTTTAGCATCACCATTGATCGTGATACCGTGATTGACGCTCAGAATGGTGCATTATGGGAACTTCCTCAAACATTCCTCGTGGAGGAGAGACGAAGTTATGATTACCAATCCACTAATTCCGATGGATCACTTTATTGGACGAATGCAGTTGCTGTAAGTTCTGTACATATGAAGGAAGTGATTATGCTTACAATTCTGAATTTTTTAGCCGCTCAGAGAAGATGATACACAAAAGAGTGACATTGCAGGTTAGTCCTTAAATGAGCTCTAACATCTGCAGTTGGGATCTTTTGCGAGTTTCATGCAGTTTTTACTGAATTCTACCGGAAGCACCTTTTGATTTTGCGGAAGGTGAACTATCAATCGATGTCAAAATCACTCAGCATTGGAGATCTACTATTGTGTCACTGTGTGTCACAGTCAGTCAATGTCCAATGCTGAGTTGCTTCAAAAGTTCCACCAAATCTTTTGCCCCTTGTTCAACGCAGCTGTTTGGAAAGTTATGTAACTTCTCGCTCCTCTTCTTGGTTACCGAATCCCAAGGGATTGTTGGTGTTGCTCAGCGTTAACCAGGTACCAGACGTGAGAGAATACAGAGGGTTTTAGCTAATCGACTGCGTAACGAATAACAACTGCTTAACTGGAGTGGCTATACATACGCTAAAGGGTGCATTACCTCAGTAAGGCAATAAGAACGTGCTCGCATGCGAGTGGGCAATTCAAAATCAACAATAGAACCCTAGAGATCAGTTCGCAGCAGAGGCAAACAATACAAGGGATAATAACCAAACTACAGCACATTACTGTTCATCATTTTCGTCCTTAGGTTTTTGACTGTATCGTTGCTTCGACAGGTCCATCTCGAAGCGGCAGTAATGATTGATGAATCCTCTAAGAACTGCGAACTCGCTCCGAGATATATTGGATTGGCGTAGTCGTGAGCGTTCTTGGTTTTCTATAGGCGATGGCGGAATTAGTAGTTGCCTGCGTCAAATCAATGAGATTGGCGTAGTGGATGCAAAAGCTTCAGCGAGAATCGACGATATGAGAGGAGTCTGGAAAACTAAACTTTCAAGACAGCGTGGTAATGGGATTGGGAACTGCACAAGGGCACTTTCAGGGCTTTTTAGGGCAGGGCAGTTTCTGCATTGTCGCTCCTCTTCATCATGGACAAGTCAGAAGCTTTGTAAGTTTGCCTCCACTGGCATTGATGGATGGCTGAAAGCAGAAAAGAATTGGAGACAAATGTGCAGAAGTTCAGAGCTAAGTTCGAGTTGCGCAACTGGGTATCAACACTGAGGATACGGAGTATATGAAGCCGAGTCCTCAAGTCGCATTTTCGCAGATGGTACGATTCGGAACGAGGTAACCGCGAGGATAAATGCAGCTTGGGCAAAATAGAAAAACCTTACGAAAATTCTGTGCGTTAGAGTTAGGGGAAGCGGATGCCACTTGAGCTAGAATCCTAGTTGTACTGCACTGCAATCCGCCAAACTGCTTCATATAGCAGCGAATGTTGACCATCTACGGAAATGAGGAACGAAGGGCCAGTGTGATGGAGACACATATGCTCGAATGACGGTAGGCGTTATATGATGAACCACGTCACCAATGACAGCATTCGAGCCACGGTGAATTTAATCGTCAAAAGATGCCAGAGAAGCGAATCCGATTGTACGAGCCAGGGCTCGGCACGAGCTGGCGCCGGGGAAATTTCAAAACGAAGTCCCGTTTGATCCTGTAAATTTTGTACGAAGTCCCCTTTGACCTGTTTTAAACACCCGTCATTATTTTTAGATTATGTAAAAGTATGTAGAGGGTTTTCATGCATGCTGATTTCATGGAACAACTTTCCACAACTTTCTGAGTCTTTTGAGTGGTTGAATCACATCTTAGCAGAAAAATCCAATTTTTCGACTGTGGAGCAGACCGAGTACTTTTCAGATGGCTATTAAACGCTGGAAAGAAAAGATCATGAAATTGTCTCTTTTCTGTATGTAAACTTTTACAGTGTAGATACATTTTGTGTAAAAAAGCATGGAAACTTATGTGAGCAAAGGGTCGGTGCTAGCTCAGCTGGCACCCAGCTGGCACGGTGCCAGCTGATTCAAAAAAAAGTTCAGCTCAGCTTTAATTCACATAAGTTTTCATAAATTTTTGGGCCATAGTTCGGGTCCCCTAACGCGCATGCACTCCAAATTTGGTGTCATACTATTGCGTTCTGGCTGAAAACAACGCCTTTGTTTGTTTGATGGACGGCATGCCGGCGGCATTCTTGCGGCTCTTCTCCGCCCGGACCCCGGAAAACGGTATCCCCTCTGCTTTCCGTCCTAAAAACGATATCCAGCTTGACCCGGTGCCAGCTGTGCCGAGCCCTGGTATGGGCACGTTACAAGAAGAGAAGATCGTATTGACAATGTCTGTGGAAGTCCCCGCAAAAGTGGAGCCAAGAGAAATGTCATTGCTAATAAAGGAACGATACTCGGTATCCGTGGCCTTTTGAAATGAGTTGTATACCATTACACTCGTCTTGGAACGCTAATTCCAAATCTGACTTTCGTTTCTGCTAATCGCTTTAAAATGTTACAATGGATCTGCGGAGTTTGCCTGCTCAGTGAAATAAGGTCGGAGCTTCAAGACTACCCGCACGTCGTGGTCTAGTGGTCAGTGTGATTAGCCTTATGAGTTGATGGAGGTGCAGGTTTGAATCTCTTTGCGTTCCTCAGTTTTGCGTTGTCTCAATTAACCCTCTTTCGCATCTTCAAGCTAATTGAACGCCCTTAATCTTCAAAAAATTTCGAAATTTGCAAAAAATGATTACTATTTGCGCTATCCAGTGAAATTCGTATAAATTTTCTGGAACAAACTCAATTGAGGCAATGCAAAAGTAAAAACACAAAAGGATTTGAACCTACACCTGCATCAACTTATGAAGCTATCGCACTAACCACTAGACAAGAACCTGGCGGCGGTAGAGACCGTTTCGGACCATACCCTTGGACGACCAAACTTGGCTCGATTTCTTCATAACTTCTTTCAGAGAAACGATTAGCAGAAACTGAAGTCAGATTCGGAATGAGCCTTCGAATACGAGTGTAATGTAAATCTCGTCTCGAAAGGCCACGGACACTGAGTATCGTTCCCTTGTAGGATGGATGGACAAATTCAGAGCAGATTTGAGGAAGCGAAATAAATGAATATGAAGCAGTAGACCGCGGACGGCTTATTGTTATGCAGCAGTAGTCGCAATACGCCAATTTGAAATTACTCTCGAGAGGCATAAAACATATCAGTGTGCCATGAATCTGTTAGCGGGTGCGTAACATTTCCACTAGCCTACTTATGATAGATGCATATAGAGTGACTACAGAAAGAAGATTTCGGTGTACTTACCTACCACTTTCTCAGATAATCGCCGGGGGCAGGCGGCCATGCGATTTTTGGGCAAGCGGGCACCGGAAAGATAGTTCGCTGATTTCTTGCGCTCCGCCTGCAGAAATTTGGAAGAATATTGTTCAATTTTTTGACAAATGCTCGGAGAAGTGTCGCGGTTTTCTTACGGATTAGTTGCGGCGCAATGGCCGCATTCTCGCAGACTTTCCGCGAGAATATGCAAAATTAATGAGGGCCGCGCGGTCCTTTGTGGAGGACCGCACAGCCCTCAGGTACTTTCCGCTGAGAGAAAGTACCCCAAACTTGGGTAATAAAACCATCGAAGACACCTCTGCCAGGTAGAGTCTTACCTTAGCTCGGCGTACGCACAGGTAGAGTCTTACCTTAGCTCGGCGTACGCACAAAAGTGCATGAAAGGAGTCCGAGCGCTTGCTGAAAGTTTAGTCAGCGCTCGCTGAAAGAAATTATTTGACGAGCGCTTGCAGAAAATTCTGTATTGCTGCCCGCTGGCAGAATAGGGAAGTACCGCTCGCTGAAGGTTTGGCCGCGCTCCAAAATTTTGCTGACCGCTTGCAGAAAAGCGCGAGTTTGCGGACCGCCTGCCCTCGGCGATTATCTGAGTTGTAAAGAAGTGACAACAAAATTACAAACTTACGAACGTCTGACAAATAACATCATCTGACCTTAAACTGGAAGGGTTGGCAGGAGGAAAGGAAGGAGAGAAAAGGGAAGATTATGGTGAGCAGGGCTTTCAAATGATGATCATCGAAGTTAGCGAATTGACAACTCAATATTCTCACTTTTCTTCACGTTTTGAATTTAGGCCCCGCACAGACTTCACGCGACTTAATCGTCGCGTTCTAATCGCCAAGATTTCCATTTATTTCCATTTCACATTCAAAAATTTCGGGCTGGAAAAGAATCACAACCTGCAAGTTGATCGACATGGAATAATGTTGTAACAGTTTTCTCGTCGCGATTCATTCGCGACGATCAAATCGCGTGAAGTCTGCCCGGGGCCTTACAGGGGCGGCTATATTTTGAATGTCTCACCACGTCTTGCTTCATAGAACATGTTAAACGCATATCTTTTGGGATAATTTTGAGTTCAATCTTTTCAGGAACTAAACCTGTGGAATCGACTTGTAAGTCGAATTTTTTGCAATTTTTTCCCTAACTGTAATGGTCATTAGTCATTTTAATCGATGGGGATTGATTATTAATTTGAATATAGGAGATAATGCGATAATCACTGTCAGAATTTGATATAACTTCTCGTTTAATCAGCAAAACCGCTGCTGCTAAGACTTCGATTGTAATATTACTTCATATGTTTGTTTGCGACTTGCACTGCTTTACAGATATCGCTCCCGAGATGTATCCGTTAACCCCTGCTTCACCGAAGCAATCCTTCTACGTCAAACTGGAAGAGCCTCCTACGGAAGTAACAGGTATATCAGGTCTAGATATGATCCCGATGCCAATTTTCCACTTATGAAAAAGAGGAATGTGTATTTGTTCGAAGCAAAAATAAAATCGGTGGTTTTTGCTTCCACTGGTTTTCCGATTTACGCTGTGGACTCATATTGCAATCAAAAATGTCTGTAAGCTGTAATTCACCACCAGAGACTTTGCTTTCCTTAGAAAAAAAAGGTTTTGAACATTTAATCCACATGTTTGACTCTACGTAAAAACTAGGTGAGGTCTGTTGTAAGCATGCACAGTTTAGAGCGTTTTTGACAATCTTTTCTTTGCCTCCCTCTACTATCTTTTGGCAACTCCTATGACACTAGGGTTATATGACACTAGGGTCCTCTTCCCCTGTTTAGACACGTACGCATGAGAGTCCTCGCGGTGAGGAAAGCGGCGTCCCCAGTGATGAAGGATTCGCAGCGGCGTTTGCGCGCGGCCCTTCATATAATGGGGGCTGCCGCTTTCCTCACCGCGAGGACTCTCATGCGTACGTGTCTAAACAGGGGATGATCATTGGTCGAAATGGCTTTTCAAGATAAATTGCATATATTTTTGAAGAGCATTAAATGCTATTTCAATTCTGTCCTCTATCCGCCGAGCACCTCTGCGTGAAGAGTTGTGGCCGTTTCAAGAGCTAAAAATCGAACGGGCGACGAAAATATAATTGATTGATGGCATTTTGCATACAATTATTTTGATTATGGGTATAGCACACAGAAATTATTCTTTGTAAGAGGTCTGACGACCTCGCTGCTTATTTGAGCCAACTGAAGATTTCTGCGTATGATTACCTTCCTTCCTCGACTCTAATTTTTTCCACAAAAGCTTCCATAACTCGTAGTCCAAAGGCGCTCCGCAGATAGGAAAGGCAGATTTAAAATCAGCGTTTGATGCCCTTCAAAAATATTTGCATATCACCTTAAAACGCATCTCGACCAGTGATTCTTCCCTAGTAAGACGCACATATGTAGTAACTTGTCAAGGTAAGGCTTCAAGTATGCTATCACTTACAAGTTTTCGTGCTTTACATATCAAAGGATATATCGTGCTAGAACGGTTCAATATCGACTGAAAAATTTCTAAAAGATAATAGCAATAAGGGTGGGTGTGTACTTACAGAAAAAGAAGAAGTGAAGCAAGTAGAGAAACAGGAGGCTGTAACGCTGGTATGTCTAAATATCTCATTTTCTAGAAGAATCAAAGAATTCCAGGTTACTGAGGACCAAGTAGTTCCTACAGCACAGGAACCGAGCATAAAAGAACACGATGTGAGTCATTAAGAGCATTGACGTTTGTTCCAATTTTGAAATAGTACAAGGGGGATCTGACTTTTAAGCAGTTTACACCTACTCCGCTGCTAAGCAGACTACTTTTCTAAGCAGCACCTCACCGTTGACTTTCTGAACACACTTTCATTAGCTTCTGCAATGACTTGCTCTATTCAGCAAGGTAGCGAATCAAACTTCGGGGGACATATGCGAGTGAAATGATGTTTCACATCATTGATCTAACCCTTTTATTTGCCTTTCTTAGAAAGGCCAGTGGATCACGATTATTTACCAGTAAGAGGTGTACATTCTATTCTCTTTACTGAGTTCGCTACATTAGCACTCTTCGGATGGGAAAATCAGTCTAAATAATAAGAATCAACAGGATATTGCGAGAGTGGATTAATTGTCCTCTACATTCTTATTTAGGAAGAAATGAGGCACAGAATCAGTAGGCAGGAGGAAGTTGAAACCAGGGGCGCACAGCACGATCGGGTTGGTGGCGGCGTCAAGGTAAAAGCCTCAAAATCCCTCAGCAACGATTACGGATTACTTTTCAGGAAACAAGAATAGTGGAAACTCATGTGATTGAGAAGATAATAAGAGTAAATTCAAAAGTTCTCTTCCGGGGTTCGGCACGCGTTGGTTTCGAGCATTTTTGGAAGCAAAGTCCCTTTCCCAAAATTTTACGAAGTCCCCCTTGACGTCAAGATCAGTAAGAAAACCTTTTTGATATAAATACAAAAGCAAAAAGAGCATTTTTGAGGCAATAAATACAACAAAAAGCAAAAAACATTTTGAGTTAATTGAAGGCTCTTATTGAATAAAGTATACGAGGTGTTCACTATGTCGAAAACCCCCCATGTCAACCAAGGCCCGTATGCACGTACATAACCGCTGGAGAGGGGGGGGGGGGAAGATTTGAGAGGATGCGTCATATCTCGCTACTCTACGTATCTTTCTTCTTCTTTCTTTATCTTGCTTATAAAGTTTTTATACAGTTATACCTACGCATATCGCATGCCAGGTTACTTCCATGCTAGACTGGTTTTTTGCCATTTTGTGTGAATCCCCTGTCATTTTCAATGTGATTTATCTTCCTGAGAATTCGATGAGAACTCTGTATAAGAGTAATGAGGATATACTACGGCACCGCTAACCATGTTTTCGAGCACAGAAATGGAATCTGTAGATTGTGAATCAAATTTACCAGTAACCTGGCATCAGTTATGCGCAGGTATTATGTATGAGAGTCTTCATAACCGAGATAAAGAAGGAAGAAGAAAGATACCTAGGGTAGCGAGATATAACGGCATCCCCTCTCAGATCCCCCCCCCCCCCTCCCCAGCAGGACTCAAATCTGTAGCCACAATTTGGCATGCATTTGTCGCCAGATAGTTCAAAGGACGCCCTGACACGCATGTGATTGGAACGGATACCTACTAATGCGTGCAATTTGCCCCAATCCCAAACAGGCCAAAATTGGCATGGCGGGAGTCCGCGCCGCTAGCATTTCGCGGCCACGCCCATGGCTTGCTTTTCTGCTTTCTTCTATCCTTTTGCTTTCTCCGACAGCACGCATATGCACCGCAGACCGCTAGCGCTGCGAGCGCGCAAATTTACGCCGACGGTTCGGCCTGATCCCGATTGGAGCAGACTGTATGTTTATAGTGCTCAAAGAAAGAATAGAAGCAATTTCGCTTTTTTTATTATTTGACAGAATTTTGAGCGTCCTAAGCGTCCGAATCAAAAAAGTCCAGAACTTATATGAAATCTCCGCTAACTATGCTTCAAAGCTTCAACGGGTACTAGGACACATAAGTTTTTCAACATTTTACATAATGTAGTTTGGAGTTATATTGTACATATAAAGCTCCTTTGTCATGTGGAAGTTTGTGCGCTGTAAACGAGCGTTTTTGAGTCATTTGAAATTCGCGCGCTGATGAAAGCACGTTTATCTCACGTTTGCCGAGTTTTTCTCGGAGCGCCACCTTGACCCTGCAAAACCAATGTCCTTTTGCTTTTCACCCCAAAAACGAAGTCTAGCATGACCGAAGACCAGCGGTGCCGGGCCCTGTTCTTAGTAGAACAGAATAAAGAAAGTGTGTTCTAAGGAGGGAGGTGAATCAGATCAGTCGCTAGCTGAGATGAAGACTGCAAAAGAAGAAGAGAGATTGCAACGCATTCGCGAAGAGATGAAAACAGCAAAAGAAGCAAGACAGCGAATAATTGGAGAGGAGATGAAAACTGCGAAGGCAATGAGGCATAAAGAAGCTATACAAGATTGGTTTGTAGTGGATCTGGCACCAGTACAGCTACAGTTCTGGAGTGAGGAGGTGAAGACCGAACACCCACACATGACTCAGGAGGTTTTGCTAACACAAGATGAAATCGCTACTGCAAAAGAAGGACGTTCCGAAGTTATCAAGGTTGGCATAACCTTCATTTTGATAGAAAGACATCATTGTGCTCTAGGAAACGAAGATTGTGGAGACTCGTGTAGTTGAGAAGATAATAAAGGTTTGTTTACTCAATCTATAGCAAAGTGCTATCATGCCCACACTTCGTGACGCATGCAGGCCTCAATACTGGCGATTGCACTCATTCCTGCTCTACTCTTGCGTCATCTAAAATCTTCCCGTCGGTGACGAAATTTGCGTTATCAAACTCAAAAATCGTATCCAGCTGTATTCTCAGTTGATCCATATCTTTTACCAAATGATGCCCATTTGCTGGTGTTCTCCAAAGGCGTTTTGCTTCGCTTCACTCTCATGTTCTCAGAACCATCCGCGTTACTCTCGCAATGTGCTTGGCTGAAAAGCGTTTTGCTTTCGTTAGTATTCCATTGGCTTGCTAAGTTAGAACAATTGTTCTCTGTCCATACCGAGAATTTCGTCAGATGCTGCATCTGTTGATGAATTGCAGAGGACACGAACGCCCTATGGGTGATTCGAAAAGCTTTTGACGTGGTTACATTATCATTCAAAAAAAAACCCCCCAAAGTCTCAGCGACGTGACACAGCGTGAGAAAAAGCCTCAGGCAGCTTTAGCTCTCTCGAGATATTCCCTCAATCAGTTCTTCCCATGCTAACATTTTGGAAATTTATTAGGAGACATCTTCGTGATGAAGGTATTTCCTTCTGAAGTGTCGGGGCCCTCAAAAAGATTGACACAACGTTTATTAGGCCAACGTTTCAGCCAACTTGCCTTTATCAGAGCCTGTAAATGAGGCAAATATGTGGTCTACTTGCTCAAACGCCCTATCATATCGTAGAAAAAAAACGAAGTTGTAGGAATTAATACTACGTCAAACAGCTCAGCTCCTTTAACTTGAAGAACATCCACAATTGAGTGACGCGCATTGACTAAGGTATTTTGACTTAGTTGCAGGTCTTGGAGGTGTTTCCAGTTATATTCTCCTGTAGCTACAAGGGTGTTTTTATAGATTAAGTATTCTCAGTTCGCAATTAGATCATTTTCCCTGCTTCGTTCAGCTCTACAATCTCTTTAGCGTCACCTCCGCTTCAAAGATATTACTCGCTAGGGATGACGTTCCGGTTAGATATTTTCACCACCCTCTGCAGGAACGTGCTCGCTATCGAACCCTCCCATTTGGTGCGTTCAGAGTGCGACGAAGTAATGTATCATTATCGCTGTTCTCGTGGTTCAAACATCCTGAGTAGGCGCTACACTCCTTGATCAAGCAGAAGAAAAGATGGGAAGGTGGAATGGTCCCGTTAGCGGATCAAATAAAATATACAAAGAGCTTGCAGAAATGTGTGCTGCTTTTGTCGAAAAGTAATATAGAGAACCTTGAACTGCTTTGTGAAAACATGCAGTCGTACCAGCCTTGATTTTCCAAAGCGCAATTCTACTCATAGTCATAAAAGTCAAGAGCTATCTACGCAAGACTTACTTCTTACTTGACGCTCAGGGAATTAGGCTGTTAGGTTCATGCTGACCTTGCTCGCATTACGGAAATCCGATAGGAGACATTAAAATTAAGCAAGACAAGCTTATTGATGGCAGAAGAACGCGTCTACTAGTACTGGACATGTACAGTCGCTATATTTCATATGATCATGAGTGCCATTGCACACACAGTCCACTTTGGCTCCTCATTTTGGATTTGCAATCGCAAAAACGCAAGAGACTTACTGATTGTTATCGATTACGTCAAATTGAGGTGACTGGTAACTAAAAAGGAAAGAAAATGCTAAGAACACCTTGGAAACACTTACCTGAAGGCTTCTTTCTCCCACGAATCCAGGATGGGGACGCCAAAGGTGAACTGTGTGTGCAGTGACACACATGATCATATGAAATGAAGCGACTGTAGAAGCTAATGGCATGAAGAAAATTTTGGCGTTGCGTTGAGTCATAGTTGCCCACAATCTCGATCGCATGCGGAAGCCGAGTTTGATCTGGACTGACCGGGATACTCGGTCGTTTACTTCGCTCACTTCGTTTGTCACCCTCCGTACTTGTAGAGGCTTTCACGCTCACTGCTCTGCTTGTTCCGTTCAAATACCAAGAATATGAGTGATGTCGAGGCGACACTGAACAATATCTGTAATAAAATATAAACAAGTAGTGACTGCAGCTATTATAACGACTTTCTTTTTACATACTGTTGAAAAAACATTACCTTAGAGTCCGATTGACGCCAGTCGCATACACTATGTATATGTCGCAGGGAACTAGCACTAGCATTGTTGTTCGCAGCATCTCAATCCTCAGTCCTGCACTTTTGGATCACATTCTGCTCACATGCCCTTTGAAAATCGTGGTGTCGCTTGCAATGTTGTGTTTGCAGTACACATCGTCCATCAAAAAGGACGTGATTTAGGAAGATGGTACCGAGCGAAAGCCAGCAGTTAAAAAGCAGTTTACTCGCGAAGAATTCAAAACCGCGAAAGAAACAGAGAAGCAGCGTTTTGTTGGAGAAGAGATGTCTACGGCGAAGCAACTGCGACAACAGGAAGCTGTACAAGACTGGCTGGTAACAGACGTGGCTCCAGTGCAATTACAGTGCTGGAGTGAAGAGGTCAAATCAGAAAAGCCGTACTTAGCTCAAGAGGTATTGATAACACAGGATGAGATTTCTACAGCAAAAGAAGGGCGGTCCGAAGTTATCAAGGTTAGCTTTCCTCATCTAGAAATATCGTTGCATAATCTTCCACAACAAATTGCTTTTAGCAAACGACGATCGTAGAAACTCATGTGACAGAAAGAACCGTCAAGGTTAGGATTCGTCACTGTCGCCAACATATTCATTACTGTTCTCTTTCAAAACAATTTTTCTACTTATGAAGCTTGTTTCCGTTTGACCGTTTGTAGATGCGACTGCATGTACCCAACAAAAAATCTCATTCTTGAACCAATTAATCTTGCCTAAGTGTTATTGTAACGGGCGAAGTGCGTTACTCTATTACCGGACGTTATCACTTTATTGAGTTCCTCGAAAACTGCAAACTAGAATGCAACAACCTTTCAGGCGCTTCGATCCATCACCCAGTGAGCTATCGATACAAATGCTGCAAAACAAGACTAAGAAATTTCCGCTTGATCCTCCATGAAAAACCAAAATTTTTTTTACTTCATTTACTTCTTTTACAACCAGACGCAATAGCGGATTTTTTGACATAACCAGTAAACACTACAAATCAATGCTTATGACAAAGAAGAGGATGAACACTTTCATTATTTGCTTGCTGATTTATCGACTTGATACTTGACATAGTCGTAACACCTCACTTGTGGTCACTATTTTTTCCTACTTTCTCAAGACTTCTAAATTATTCTAGTTCATGTTACTGGACAGATAAGATGTTTTTACAGGAAGGTGGAGGTGAAGGAAAATCATCAACTGAGAAACAAGTCATACGGGAAGAAGTAAAGACATCAAAGGAAACGGAAAGGCAGCGTGTTATTGCGGAAGAGATGTCGACGGCAAAGCAACTGCGACAGCAAGAAGCTATACAAGACTGGCTGGTGACAGACGTGGCACCTGTGCAGCTACAGTGCTGGAGTGAAGAGGTGAAAACAGAGCACCCCTACTTGACTCAAGAAATATTGCTGACGCAAGATGAGCTATCTACTGCAAAAGAACATTCTTATTCCGAAGTCGTCAAGGTACGAGTTTTTTTTTTCACTTCGTCCAGGAAAGAAATACAAGAATCTTCAGAAAACTAGAACGGTCGAAACCCATGTCAGTGAAAAAGTTATCAAGGTGAGTGTTCATTCTAAATCATAATAAATCAAAATGGAGCTCTAAACGAAAAAGATGACATAAGGAAATGCAATGTCTTCAGATCCTTGTTCTTTCGCACGTTTCTTAAATGGCGTTTCTGCGCTGTGCTGTTATCAGTTTAGTGGTGAAGTTGGAAGCAGTAAGCAAAAGCCGTGTGCTAGTGCTGATTCCAAAACTCCTTTTCAAAATTTTAAGGGTGTTTTGACTTTTAACGGCAAATTTTCTGGGTAGACGGTCTTGGTTTTGGTAAGGCAATCTGCTTCATTCATGCGGAAAACCGAGGCAAAATAGACCAATTCTTGTTATGTCGCCATGCTCTTATCCGCTTCCCTCATTCAGCATTCGAAAGCAGAATTTTTCTGTGCATGTGCTGAAATACGGGCATTGAAGCTTCTGGTCGTTCCCTTTGAGAACCCAAAATTTAATCAGCTTTGAGTCTGCACATTCTGTACATTACACGGTACTGCCAATAAACACTGCTGCATAAGCATGCCTTCACCAAATGAATTTCCATTCGGTAAGTGTCATATGACTAGCACGACAAGATTAAGCTGGATTACTCCTCCGCATTCTAATATATCCAGAAATATCGTCTTTTTCGTAATTTCTTCTTCTATCGTTCAGAATCGAAGAGGATTTTGTAGCTTGTCTAATCTGACTTATATTATGTTATACTTCTCAAGTGTGGATGAAGTAGACTACCTAAGAGAATATGTTTGCGAACGTGCCGTAAGACCTAAGCAAGGCCGTCACATAGTTGCGAGTCGCTAGCTATATTACTGTAGACATTCTATGAGTTCTATTTCAATAGTAGAAAGCGTTTGGGTAGAAAGACTGTACGATGAAATACCGTACCAAGACAAGTTCCTCGTAATGGGATACTTATGTCCAACGAGATAATACACTCACAATGCAGAGAAGTTGTGAGAGACCAAATTGCTGAATAAGCCCGATAATAAAGATGCCGTGCCGGATGTGAACATCAAGCGGGTAACGTCCGAAAATGCTTCTCTACTTTACGCGTTTTTTTGCGCAGGAAGGTAAGCAGATTCGCCTCATTTTCTTTCGAAGTTTGCAATGTTGGGAGTGCACAAGCAGATAAAAATATCTGGTTTAGTCAAAAATAGACCAACTAGTTAACCGCTACGCAAGTTTCGAATTCTTAACAACGACAAGTGCAAATAACAGTACTTCTAGTTGCTCGTATGATATTCGCAGCACAAAAATCGTAAGGTGGCGACATTTTCGTGCATATAGGACGTCCCGACAAATGCTTCCATCATTTTCTCCTCTCAACCGAGCCAGCACCCCGATTCCAATACGCACAGAATGGATGTAAATGACGAAAAGTGGATGTGAAAGTTCTCCATGTTGAGTTTGAGCAAATAACAAAGGGCCTTCTAAGCCTGGAAGCAGTCGCTGTAGAACCTTATAGTCGTTAGTGTGGTAGTATGCACGCTCGAGAGCTCTTGCGAGAGATATACGGGATACTCGTTCGCAAATTTGAGTTGGAACCGGTTTTCGGTTTTTGGAGCGCTTACTTTTGCCTTCGGTGATGGCTTGTTGGTAAGCATGTAGCACTATAAAACCCCGCTACAGTATTCCATGCTTACGGGAGCCCCTGCAAGAAGAGCTGCATTCCATTGTAACTTTTGGTGGAATGGTTTCAGAGTTTCTCAAATGCGAGATTTGCCAGTTAATTCCTACAAATGCTAATGTATTCATTTGAGGAAGGGGACATAACAACGGGAAAAGAAAAGAGAAGAACTACCGAAGTGATTGAACGAACAGTAGAAGAAGAAAAAATTGTGGTTTGTAGTTTGCAATTTAAATATTGAGTATAGCTGCTTATCAAGCATTACCAAAATATTAAAATCTAATAGTATGTGTCTACTATATAAAAACTCAGTAACTGGTTTCAATAGTTTTCATCATTTGGCTTGTCTATCAGCTATCTAAACAAATTTTTGGGTGAAAGAAGGAAAATCCGCATCAATGTCGATTCATGCACAATTGTAATAAGTTTTTATTTTCTTATGAGTAGTTAAGAGCTAGCAATCTTCTCCCTCATACGTTGTTTCGCTAAAACTTCTCTTAAGCAACTGGAATTCTTTATCTTCTAATTCATTTGTGCGGAGCGCCTACTCGGAGTACTCTCAAGTGTAGCGCTTTTGATATCTTGAAACAAACGCTTACCTAGCGTGATTGTTCATTATCTGTAACAGTCACAAGAAGAAGTAAAAGATAATCAAACGCAGAGTGATTCTTTCAGAATCAACTTAGCGACCATCAAGAGCTGATCCGCGAAGAGATACTATCACCAGCTGCACAAGAGATTGTTACTTTATCAGGACCTCAGAAACCTGAGCTAATGCCTCTTGACGACGAACAAGTTAGCAACGAGTATATCACGTTGTCGGCGCAAAGAGAGGAGGCTTATCATCTGGAACCACAGCAAATGAACTTGATACCTGCTGAAGACGAGGAGTTGCATGAATCATTCGATGAGTTGCCCGTAGCTGCGTCAGATCAGGTTCCACAAATTCAACCTCAAAAGGTGGAGCTTATTCCGATTGAAGATGAGCAGTTAGTAGAGACTATGCAAAAAATCGTACAACCCACAAGTGAAATTGTAACCGTAAAAGAGGCGCGTACAATTGAGTTGATACCCTTTGAAAGCGAGGAATTACATGAATCTATCAGTGAAGTGGTTATTGCCAGGAGTCAGGAGCAGCGCATGAAATTACCGCAGCAAGCAGAAATGATACCCGTTGAGGATAACCTGATCAAAGAAGCCACTGGTGAGTTTTCGCCCGCGGAAATCGAGCAGGTTCCTAAGCAAAAACCGCAGGAGATAGATTTGATCCCTATCGAAAGCGTGGAAGTTTCGGAGCCGTTCACTCAGCTTCCTGCGGCAGATTTGGAGCAGATAACTCCGAATGTTCCATGCCAAGCAGATCTAATACCGATTGAGAGTGTCGAAGTATCGGAGTCCGTCACTGAGCTACCGTTAGCAGCAATAGAAGAAATACCTCGAAACCTGCCACAAGCTGTAGACTTGCTACCAATTGAGAGCGCTGAGGTTATCGAGTCGATCGTTGAAATACCTCCAGCAGAATCCGAACAAGTGCCTAAGAATATTCCTCATGAGGTAGATTTGATACCAGTGGAGAGCGTGGAGATTACGGAATCTTTCACTGAGATACCTCCAGCAGAATTGGAACAAGTGCAGAAAAACACTCCTCGTGTTATAGACTTGATACCGATTGAAAGCGAGGAAGTCACCGACACGTTCAACGAGATTCCGCCAGCGGAATCTGAGCAAGTACCCCAGAATGTTCCGCGTGAAATAGACTTGATACCGATTGAAAGCGAGGAAGTCATCGACACCTTCAACGAGATTTCGCCAGCGGAATCTGAGCAAGTACCCCAGAATGTTCCGCGTGAAATAGACTTGATACCGATTGAAAGCGAGGAAGTCACCGACACATTCAACGAGATTCCGCCAGCGGAGTCTGAGCAGGTACCTCAAAATGCTCCACGAGAGATTGACTTGATACCGATTGAAAGCGAGGAAATCACTGATTCATTCAATGAAATTCCTCCGGCAGAGTCTGAGCAGGTACCGAAAAACATTCCACGTGAGATAGATTTGATAGCAATAGAAAGCGAGGAACTTACCGAGTCATTCAATGAAATCCCTCCTGCAGAGTCTGAGCAGGTACCTCTAAATGCTCCACGTGAGATAGACTTGATACCAATTGAAAGCGAGGAAATTACCGATTCATTCAATGAAATTCCTCCAGCAGAATCTGAGCAGGTGCCCCAGAACATTCCACGCGAGATGGATTTGATACCCGTTGAAAGTATGGAAGTTACGGATTCTTTCAATCTAATTCCTCCTGCGGAAACCGAACACGTACCTCAAAATACGCCTCAAGAAGTGAGCCTGATACCAATTGAAAGCGTTGAGCTTTCGGAAACTGTGAATGAGATACCTCCTGCAGAAAGTGAGCAAGTGCCGCAAAATATGCCACAAAAAGTTGACTTGATACCGATTGAAAGCGAAGAATTAGCCGAATCCGTCACTGAAATGCCTCCAGCGCAATCTGAAGAGATACCGCAGAATTTGCCGCAAGAGATAGACCTCATACCTATCGAAAGCGAGCAGCGCACGGATTCTCTTACCGAGATACCTCCGGCAGAATCCGAACAAGTACCGCAAAACTTGCCACAAGAAATAAACCTCATACCTATCGAAAGCGAGCAGCGTACCGATTCCCTTGTCGAGATGCCTCCGGCAGAATCCGAACAAGTGCCGCAGAACTTGCCACAAGAAATAGATCTCATACCCATCGAAAGCGAGCAGCATACGGACTCCCTTACCGAGATGCCTCCGGCAGAATCCGAGCAAGTGCCGCAGAACTTGCCACAAGAAGTAAGCCTCATACCTATCGAAAGCGAGCAGCGTGCGGACTCCCTTACCGAGATACCTCCTGCAGAGTCTGAACAGGTGCCAACACAAGCGGCACAGGAAGTGGAAATGATACCAGCCGAAAGCGAAGAGGTTCGGGTAGTAGTCAATGAACTGCCTCCTGCAGAGTCCATCCAAGTAACTCCAGTTGAAGCTCAAAACATTGACCTAATACAGGTTTATAGCCAAGAACTACGCGAAGCCATCGATGAGCAAGCTCCAGCTGCTTCAGTAGAGATACCTCCTGTGAATCCTCAAGTTGTAGAGCTTATACCGGCTGAAAGCTTGGAAATTCGCGAGACCGTTAATGAACTGGCTCCGGCAGAAATTGTAGAATTACGACCAATAGAAGCTCAAAATGTGACTATGATTCCTATTGAGTTCGAACAACTAGTGGACTCTATCAACGAGTTGCCTCCAGCAGTAAGCGAGCATGTTTCTGCGAACGAACCGCAGCAAATTGATCTAATACCTATCGAAGTTGAAGTGATGCATGACATTTTGCGAGAATACATAGAACCAGCTTTAGAGGTGGAGAAGCCTGAAAGGTTGTACACCGAGCCAATACCCATTGAGGAAGAGCAGGTTCGCAGTGAATACAGCGAATATGCGCCAATTGCATCGGAAGAGCTGCCTCAAAGATACTTGGAAACAGCGAAACCGATACCCATTGAGGAAGATGTAGTCCACGATAGAAGCGCAACAATTACAACACAGTCTGAGAGAGTACAGACATCAAGAGTGGAAGAATCCACACTGATACCGATAGAGGTGGCATAACTTATTTTTCCTCTAAATAATTCTCCAACCTTTCTCATGCAACATTAAGCTGCCAAATTTATCGTACTTATGTCTTATTTACAATATAAGTAACCACCATAAGCAAAGCAACATAATCTACAGCGGTAGCTCTTCATTGATTAATCCAAAACGACTTTGATTCAGCTTTGATTTGTAAATGGTAATAATCGCCTGAATTAGAGGATAAGGAATTCCGCTGCATTCCTTATGCAAAAGGAGTTATGGAAAGCCCAAACCAGAATTCGGTAGTAGCCCAATTATTTCGTAATAACGTGGCCCCCTCATTAGGTTGTTTACCCCCTTCTCACTAAGTTGTTTAATTCAAATTTAATTTGCTCTATCTTCTATGCACCTCCTGAATTATTCTTCACCTGCGCAGTTGCTGTGAAGCATTGCAGTTACAAAGTCGCTGTTAAATGACTGACCAATCAAGTCGAAATGTACCGAATACTGAACTTCTTTCCTCCCTCGCTGTTGATTCCAGATCCTCCTTAATATTTTGTTTAAACAAAAGCAAACCTTGATATGCACTGGATATGTAGTTAAGATGCATTTGCTTCTGCTTATGGTGGTTTTTAAAGCTTTTAAAACTTTTAGCAGCTTAAGGTTGTCTGAAGAAAGCAGCTAAAGGAAGTTCTGCGACACTACTAGTGTTCTCATCCCAAATTTGTCCAAAACGGTTAAAAGGAGATGAACCCGTTCATATAATGTCTGTTATAAATGAGTTGCAGATAGTTTTACAATGCACTGGTCTTCAACCCAGTGATGCTTCTATCCGTTTTATTACTCACTTAGATGAGTTGGGGCTTATAAAGTGTCGCAACGCTTCTACAAAAAATTCTAAGCTTCCAAATACGCTAAATATTTGTTAAGGAGGATATGGACACAGCGAAGAAGGAAATTATTAAGGTTAGAAAATTTAACATTGTTAAAGTAAAAGCATTATGATCTACAACTGATGATGAAAATCTCAGGAAACAAGAATTGTCGAGACGAGAATAACAGAGGTAAGTATAAGCAGCCATCAGATTGGAATGGTCCGGCACTTTGTGGGATTATATCTTCTTCAAATGAAATTTCCACTCAAAAAACACTTAACTTACAAGATTTGAATTTTCAATTTTACTTCAACGATTATAAGAGGAGCAGAAAACTGACAGTAAGGGGTAATGTTGCAAAAAGACATATCAAACAATAAGCCGGAAGAGAAACCTTATTTGAAAGATGTGGATGTAGGTGGAGAATGAAAAAAGACGCAGTTTGAGTAGATCTACTGCTTTCTCGCGCTACTTAAGAGCATATTCGGTTTTGCAGAAATATAGCACACTACTCTCTCCTGCTATGGTGTTGTGCATTCGAGACCGCCTGCGTCGGACTTCCCTGTTTCGTTCGGATTAATCCAGAAATCGAATTTTTTACGTGAAAAATGAACACAGATGCTCACAAGCATACACGAGCAAAAGAACTCAGGCAAATAGACGGACGTGCTTTCGCTTCATTTTGATTTGCATCACAATGGCGTTGAATCTCGTGTGACAAGAGCACTAACCATCTCGGCTTCGTTCAGTCGGAAACCATTGTCTTTCTATTAGCTTTCAGAGACCTCATTGAAGTTTGCTAACAAGTACAATTATTGCTTGGCAACTTTCGTCTTTCGCTTGACGGTCGAGCTCGATACATAGTTTATTGTGGCATACATCTTGTTGGTATGTACAGCAGAGTTTGTTGATGGAAAATGAGCTTTCTAGGTTCAGCAAGGTGCTGAAGGGTCTGTGTCAATTTGGAGCTTACCCGATGCGCTAAATACGAACCAAGTCCTATGTTTTGTGAACATGCTAAAAAGCTGTTTTCTGTAGCTCGGAGAAGTGCGAAATCAAAGATGCAATTGTCAGCGCCAAAGTGTTATGACTTGCTCAGGCGCATTCCTCAAAGGCAGCGTCCCGGCGAAACTACGCTTCCTAGTTTTTCACTTATTCGGAGCCTTCTCGCCATGGGAAACCAATATTTGCGCTTTCCAGTGCCCTAAAATGAGCAAAAATGAGCTTTTTTTCCAAGTCTTCCAGGTTTGCATTAAGTGCAAATACTCCGGAATTCTTCCGTACCCGCCTGCCTCGTTTGCCCGCCCACTTACACGTGTTTTCCATGAGCGGACCTGGCAAACTCTGAAAAAAGCTCATTTTTGCCATTTTCAGGCGCTGAAAGCCCAGGTATGGGCTTATGGAGAAAAGGCTTCGAAAAGGTGATAAACTGGGAACAAAATTTCAACGGGAACACTGCCTTTGAGTCAGCGATGATTTGCCTCAAAATTTGCGACCTGTTAAATCAAAATTACGGAGTTGCCATGGTCCTGTACTGCATCCTCAACAGTTTTGCTTACAAGGGAAGGATAGTTGGATGCAGCGGCCACTCCTAATGATTTGTATACCAAAAAATGCGCCTTCGATTGCAGATTCTGAATCTGTACTCGAAATTTGCGAAACGATCTTTTGAAGAAAATTATGAACTTTTTTCCTTGAAAATTTAGCCTACTTTTGGATAGTAAAAATCACCAGATTTGATCTAGCCTACCGTTTGATGCTACTGAAGAAAATTTTAGACGTCGTAATATTTATTTGGACTATCTGGAATACTCAGCATTTGGAAAGGAGAGAAAATTTTTTATTGATGATTTTGACCCTTCGCAGTAACGCAATTTTTTTAATGAAAAAAAAATCATAACTCCATTCAGATTATCGTTTCGCAGATATGAAAGACAGTCTACGAACAAGCATTCAAAAGCGCATTTTTTGGTATACAAATCATTATGAATGGCTACGGCATCCAAGTATCCTTCCCCTGTTAGTAAGCGGGAGCAAAATATTTATCTTTTGTTCTCTTCTTCAACAGTATACCCTGAGTATTCTTCTTGGTGCGTTCTTCTCAAGTTAATGTTTAGTAAAATTTGAATCTGCTTGACCTTTGGTCGTACTCGTTTCAGTGAGAGTCAGAGATCCTTAGAATTGATACTTTAGGAGCATAGTCAATCGTCTCAACTGTACTTTATTTTGGTAAGGCTGAGCCAGCATCTGTTCGTTGGGCACGATATTCGTTTTAGTAGAGATATCACCAGCTAAGCATGGCGATGGGCCACAAGAATTGTACTCCCAATTTTCTTACTCGAATAGATATGAAGTCCTCGAAACTAGCAATAAGGAGCATGTTTATCATTTATGTTGAGCATGACTCAAGTAACTGAATAGTGTTTGAGGATGAGTGTCGGTGTGGTGGTTAGATACAAAACAAAAGTCTGAAGAAGTCAAGATGTATTTTGTTTTTGTGTTCATTGTAACGAAATCTGAGTTGTTCGCAGCAAATTCTCCGTAACGCCTGTCATGTTTAGGTAGACCTCTTCAAAACAGCATAATTACATTACGTAGTCATCTTAAATGACGTAACAGAAAATAACAACCTGGATTTTTGGTTTTGATCCTTATTTACTTCAAGGCTTCAACTGAGATTTGTTTAGCAAGTCGAGGAGAAGCCAGAACTACCAGTGGACAGCACGCAAGAATCGGAAACGCAGTTAGTGAGGGTGAGATCGCTGCATGATTTGGAGTATAACTTTATGGAATCGGCTTTTCTAAGACATTGGGCTAATTTTTACGAATTGGATCAATGGGTCATGAGTGCCTTTCATCTGTCTTTATTAAGGAGGCTTTAATGGACGAGCTGTATGTCGACACTTTACCAACATATTACGTATCATACAGTGAACCATTGATGCTACAACAACAAAATATGGCGCAAGATATAGTACTAACGCAAGAGGATCTACTCACTGCCAAAGAGTCACGGACACATAGGGAGATCATTAGGGTAATCCTTTATAACAGCTTCGTATAATTCATAACCCAGTTTCAGGAGACGAGAAGGATTGAGACCATTACAGTGGAAAGGATAATAGAGGTGAGGTAGACGACATAACAAAGTAACGAGTTCAGCAGTGCGTAATTACGTAAAACTTCGACTTCAGGATGCAGAAGCAGCTAATGTCCGAACTGCTACAGAAGAGTCCAAAACAGCTACAGAAAGCCGCAGCGGCACCGTCAAAGTATTGCTTTGTCTAATTGCTAGGATTGCTCTCGGAAATGCTAAATTATGTTTAAAACCTACGCTCGTGTTTAAAGCGATATTTCCTGGTATTTGTACAGAAATTCGTAGGAGATGTGACAGTGGTAAGCCACTGGCATCACTCACCCATGTACTGACTAGATTAGCACGAGTTTAGCAGTTACGAGATTAGCAAGAGTTTATGATAGTTGACTATCATATAGCATCCACTTTAAGAATGCCAAATTACAGGAATCCCACACGATAGAGACACACGTAAGAGAAGAGGTGATGAACGTGAGTGAGCTAAATATGTAATCAAAAGATAGCGTTATGATGCAAGTAAACCACAAGCGGCTAGTTTTTAGGAAGAGCCTCACCCGGTGTCGGCTGACATGATCACTGCAAAACGGGAAATCATTCAGCCTGTGTCTGAAGTTGTTGATGTTGAGATGTCCACAGCAAGGGCTCGCTCACCGTTCGAGATGTCTACTGCGAGAAGCCGTTCACCATCTACAGCGAGAATACGCTCACCGTTCGAGGAGATGTCCACTGCGAAGGCATCACGTGTGACAGAAGAGATGTCGACTGCAAGAGCAACACCCCGCTCGCCATTTGAAGTTTTATCGACGGCAAAGTATCGTTCACCATCATCAGCAAGAATTCGTTCGCCATTCGAGGACATGTCCACTGCCAGAGCAACACGTATAACCGACGAGATGTCCACTGCTAGAGCTCGCTCGCCATTTAGAATGCTATCTACAGCAAGGAGTCGTTCGCTTTCAACAGCAAGAATCCGATCACCATACGAAGACATGTCCACTGCCAGAGCATCACGTATGACCGACGAGATGTCCACTGCAAGAGCGAGAACTCGCCTGCCTTTTGAAGACATGTCCACTGCTAGAGCATCACGTATGACGGATGAGATGTCCACTGCAAGAGCAAGAACCCGCTTGCCATTTGAAGACATGCCCACTGCTAGAGCTCGCTCACCATTTGAAGACATGTCCACTGCCAGAGCATCCCGTGTAAACGATGAGATGTCCACTGCAAGAGCAAGAACTCGCTTGCCATTTGAAGACATGTCCACCGCCAGAGCATCCCGTATAACCGATGAAATGTCCACTGCAAGAGCAGGAACTCGCTTGCCATTTGAAGACATGTCCACCGCCAGAGCATCCCGTATAACCGATGAAATGTCCACTGCAAGAGCAGGAACTCGCTTGCCATTTGAAGACATGTCCACCGCCAGAGCATCCCGTGTAACCGATGAAATGTCCACTGCAAGAGCTCAATCGCCATTTAGAGACATGTCCACTGCCAGAGCATCACGTGCGGCCACTGATGAGTTGTCTACAGCAAAAGGCTCAAGACGCGTTATCAGGGTATACTCTGGTGTTGTTTCCTTCAACAGTCAAGCACAAAAGTTTTTTTTTAGGAAACAAGAACAATTGAGACACATATCGTCGAAAGAATTGTAAGTGCAGGACTTCCCACTGATGGCATTTATTGCGCATAGCATTCCACATGAGATGGAGTTGTTAATTATAAATTGTTAACTTCAGGTTGACGGTGACCTCAAAACGGCGAAGCAGTCTACTTCAGCCATATCTACTGTAAGTTGCCTTGTCAGATCGGTAGATCGGGATTTTACTGTTGGCGGGAAAAAAGTCCGCTTTGACCCCTCCGGCAGGATATAAATACCGGGAGTCAGGGGGAGGCCTCAGTCCGCGCTGGAGAAGCGCTAGAGGGAGCTAACTCCGTCGAAGAGAGGCGGATCTCCCCCTTAGATAGAGAGTTCTGATAGAGAGTTCTTCTTAGTAAACCTGCCGAAGTGGTCAAGAGGGTAAAGCCCATCGTTTCGTTGTAAGCCTTGTTCACGTTACGCATTATTGTTCTTGTTGTTCGTTGTCGTTTTTTTTTGAGATAAATTGTTAGTCGTTCAATCCGTGTTGTCTATCGATCCGGTTAAAACCGTTATACCACTAGACACCCCCGGTTACATGGGGGCCGAGCATACCTGGATCGATTGAAGGACACACGGGCGATTGATATCGACTTTCTCAGAGGCAAGACAACATAGAACGTGCGTGGACCAGGCCAAGGAGGCGAAACCAAAAGACCAAAAAGGTGGGAAACTATACGTCATCGAACAGGTGACGTACGTAACAGGCCAAGAAGGCCACATCCAGAATCAATTGAAGAAAATTTTTATTATATCTTATAGTATCAATAGCATATTGTATCATCCAGATCAGGCTCCCATACAATCTTTATTGATTGCTGTTGCGTCGTATTCTCATTATTGAGCGATTTCGTGCGTGATTTCGTTTTGAATAGAGATTTTTCAAGAGGCAATCTTATTCCTTTCAGATAGCATCGAGCATACTAGCCTAGTGAAGGGAAATGGAGCAATCAGAAGCCCAGGCTGGAGACAGTCAGGTAAGACTCACAAATAAGGGGAGTATTGAAGAAAAGATAGGCTTCATAATGAAGGAATTGGGGCTGCTGCCGGGCGTAGTCAGCAAGCACTTGAACGAAAGTAGGGCCGCGCTAAAATATAGGGCGCCTTTGGAAGAAGAGTTGAACATTAGAGTAGACACAATGCTGAATTGTTTGGAAAGCCTGGCAGCAGACATAAAAGGGGGTCTTACTAATAAGATAGATGTGATAGAAGACACATCAAGTGAGCTAAGGTCAGAGCCATTTCAGGCCAAGGCCTACCAGCTACATGCTCAAGACCGCTCGTCAGAAGAGAAGGATACCTTACAAGAGGACACCGAGATGATGCAAGGTGAGCACATCAGGCCCTCTGATCCAAGGAGCGGCAGCGAATACTGTGTTCAGACGTGGAGTATGAAGAGGCCGTGGAGCGAACAAAGATTCGAGACTGGACAGACGTCCGGAGGGCACTGGAGGCAATCGGAACCGCACAACAGCAGAGCACCCCAGCCCAATCAAGGTACGGATCAGTTAGTAGATTATTTCCAAAGCATGACGTTCGCTGATCCAGGGGTCTATAGGGGGCATGAAAATGAAAATTTTGATAGGTTTATCAGAAGATTCACTAGGAAATACGGGTAAATAGTTAGGGATGAAAGAATGCTAATAGAGCTCCTGGGGGATGAACACTTGGAAGGAAGGGCGAGGTCCCTATTCCTGAGTATACCCATGGCGGTAAAACGCCAGGGCTTTGACAGGGTAGTGAGGGAAATGGCCTCACTACTGGCCTGCGACTCCACAGCTGCTAGGTTGAAGGCGCTGACAGCCTTAAGAAATATACGCTTAAGGCCAGGCCAAGAGGTCGCGGACTTTTGTGTCGCCCTCGAAAACCTAGCAAGGAAGGCCAATCCTCAATGTACCATTGAGGAAAGATCGATGGAGTATGCGCAGATTCTGTTAGAGAATCTGACATTGTGGCCGGAATACGTACAGCTGGTGGGGACCCTACACCAAGTGGACCCAGCTGACGCATACAACAGAATAAAGGAAGTCGCGATTGAGATCGAGCAATCGCGAAGGCTCTGCAAATTCGAAAGGAGAAGTGAACCGCAAGCTTCGCCATAGAGGAAACCAAGCAAAAATGAGAAGTATGCCCCGGTGAGAGCGCAGCATCGAAACAGCTTAGCGGAAAGGGGCGAAAGGCAAGATGCTGTGAGGAGACAGGACCCGGACCCAACGAACAGCCCAGATGCCAATAGAGAGGATCGATCAAATGAAGGGAAGAGATGCTTCAATTGTGGCAATTTCGGACATGTCATTAGAGACTGCAAATATAGGAAGACGGAGAACGAAAGCGCTACCAAGGCTTCGACTGGGGTAACATCTATGCTAAACAGGAAACGTAATATGGTTGTGAAAACCTCTCAAGTTGAGGCAAACGTAGTTGTCGGTAGAAGAATCTTGACCCGAGCGAGGATGCTGGGAAGACAGGTGTCAGCACTCATTGACACGGGTTCAATGATTAGTATTCTTCCCGTGGGAAGCTTATAGAAGCGAGGGACAATGGCTATGACGTTGAGTCACTTCAGACATTCGATGTCTTGGAGGGAAGCATATATGACGCATCAAATCATGTGATGAGCTTTCTAGGAGGGGTAAAGGCAGAAGTGGAACTGGAAGGAGGGTGCAAAAAGGAAGTAGCTTTCCATGTTTCGGACGATGAAGACAAGGAAGTACTCTTCGGCACAAATGCATTGAAGGACCTAGGAGTGGAAGTTGTGGTACACCAGAACCCTGACGTCAAGGCAAAAGTGATGGAAAGAATGATGATTCCACCGTATAAAACAGGGATAGTGAGACTCAAGTGTGAAGTCGGGAACGGATGCAGAACAGAAAGAGTTTTTTGGCCTTCAAAAGAGGAAGTATCAAGTGGAGTCTTTTCCATAACGAGCGAGGAAGCAAAGGTGCCAGTACTGAATACGGGAACAGAGCCAATGATACTCCACCGAGACGAAGAAGTAGGCACGTGGGGAACCAATAAGTGGTACAATTCTATGGAAGACACGGGTGTCATGATGTTAGACAGTAATGAGGAAGAGCGACAAGGAAGTGATAGACAAATGATGCTGTATGACCAGATAATAGAGAATAGGGAATCCAAGCTGCTTGAACCCGACATAGAGGAAGTGCTGGAGGAATACACAGAGTGTTTCGCAGTAGATGAGAAGGAGCTCACGCAAACAGATCTAGTCAAGATGAGTATCAACACAGGGGATCATGAACCAGTAAAAATGAAGGCTAGGCCAGTGCCTCTGGCATCAGGTCGAAACTCAAGCAGATGCTACAAGACTTGGAGAGAAGATCCATCATCGAAAAGAGTTCGTCAGAGTGGGCATTCCCCATAGTACTGGTGGAAAAGAAGGACGGGTCATTAAGACTGTGCGTTGACTATAGGGAGCTCAATAAGCGAATCAAGTTGGACTCATACCCACTACCGACTATAGATGCCATACTGCAAAATATGGCAGGAAAGAAATTCTTTTCCACTTTGGACATGTGCAGTGGCTATTGGCAGATACCAATCGCAGAGGATTCAAAGGAAAAGTCGGCTTTCACGACACCGGAAGGCTTATACCACTTCCGAGTGGTACCCTTCGGGCTGAGCACAAGCCCAGCAGTATTCCAAAGGTTGATGGATGCTGTACTGGGAGACCTTCTAGGGGTAAATGTCTTTTGCTATATCGATGACATAATGATTTGCACACGCACTAGCGAGGAACATATAAGACTGCTGCGCGAGGTCTGCAAAAGGATGAAGACGGCGGGTTTGAAGTTGAAAGCAAAGAAGTGCTTTCTATTACAGTCAGCTGTTTCGTTTTTGGGACATAAGATAGACAGTGAAGGGGTACACACGGACCCTGAAAAGGTAGAAGTAATTCGACAGTATCCAGCACCTAAGAATGAGAAGCAACTACGGAGATTCCTAGGAATGGCATCTTTCTACCGGAAGTTTTGCCTAGGGTTTTCCAAGCAAGCGAGCTGTCTGTTTCGCTTGACATCCACTTCGACACCATGGTCATGGGGAACGGCAGAACAGGAAGCTTTTGAGAAAGTTAAAACGATGATATCCAAAGCTCCGGTACTAGCACAACCAGACATTGCTAAGGCTAGGTCAGGCGAGAAGCCTTTCATCATATGCACAGATGCCTCCACCACAGGAATTGGGGCAGTGCTCACACAGAAAGGAGAAGACAATGAGATGCATCCCATCTACTTCGCATCGAAGGCTTTGAGTAGAGCCGAGCGAAACTACCATGTCACTGATTTGGAGGCACTAGCGGTCGTGTTCGCGGTGCGGAAATTCCACATCTTCATATACGGGTTACCAACAGTGGTATATACCGATCACCTCCCACTAACTGCACTTTTCAAGCGGACAAATGTGTCAGCTCGGGTCCTAAGATGGTCATTAGAGCTGCAGAGATACAATCTTAATATACAATACGTGAAGGGAAAAGCAAACATCGTAGCCGATGCTCTAAGCAGAGAAGGCGCATGGAAGGAGGATGTTGCACTAGGAGGATGTGAAGAAGCTGTGGTAAACACAGTGACGATGGAGGACGAGTCTAAGTGGTTGAAAGTGTTAAAAGATGATGAAGAATGGAGCTCAGTGATTGATATGCTGAGAGAAGGGAAATTAGAAGAATACGTCAGGATTACTGGGATGTCACAACCAGTGCGTATAGCGGATTTTGCTATACGAAAAGGAGAATTAACGATGTTCACGAAAGAAGGGAAGCAAGTATACGTAGTGCCTAAAAGTTTTCGGAAAGAAGTGTTCCAAGAAGCCCACGAAGGAGCGTTAGCAGGACACTTTGGAGCCCAGGAGATAGTCAATCAACTCAAGAGAAGAGTTTTCTGGCCAGGGATGGCAAAAGATATACAAAAGTGGACAAAAGAATGTCAGAAATGTTTCGTGGAAAACGCCAGTGGGAAGGCTGTACCGCCACTGAAACCGATAGTCACTACAAAACCGTACGAGATCATTGGAGTGGATATACTGGAGCTGGGGAAAACAACAAGCGGAAATAGATATGCCATTACTGTCATTGACCATTTCTTCAAATATGCAGCAGCTTATCCAGTCCCGGATAAGAAAGCTGACACGGTAGCAAAAGTAATTTTCGGAAGGTGGATAGCGGATGGATGCCGCTGGCCGAAATCAATTCTGTCTGATCGCGGAGGCGCGTTTGAGAACAAAGTTATGGATGAGATAGCAAAAATTACTGGATTGAAGCAGCTCTTCACCAAGGGTTATAACCCGAGGGAGAATGGAATCACGGAGAGGCTGAATGGTACCATAGTTACCATGTTGCGGAAGGCGACAAACGTGCCCACGGAATGGGATGTAAGGTTGCCGTTTTGCATGATGGCGTACAACATGATTCCACACAACTCCACGGGGGAGAGTCCGTATTTCATACTGCACGGGACAGATCCGATCTTCCCCTCAAACATTATTCCGCCGGAAACCAGTATGTATGAAGAACAGTAGCGAACAGTATAAGACAGGACTGTTGCAAGCTATTGCAGAGGTTCAGCAGCGGGTAAGATCCTACAATGATCGCACGCGAGCTAAAATGAAAATCGCTTACGACAAGCGCAATGCAGTGGAAAAAGCCAAATATCCGAAAGTAGGCGATCGGGTGTACATGAAATGCCCGGCAGAGAGGGGAAAAACTACGCATCCTAAGTTAACTTGCGAATGGGCAGGGCCCTTCAGAGTATTAGAGACTAGTGAAAATCCTGCTGTGATAACTAGAATCGGGGAAAATGCAGACCCCTTAAGAGTACAATTCGACATGTTGAGGGTAGTACCATTAGAAATTCCAGACGACCGTATTGACACAGTAACCTCTAGATGGAGAAGAGGGAGACCAAAGATTAAGATTACTTGTTCTAAAACATCTTTATATTTCAGAGACGCATACATCAACGAGGAGGCACAGCCAGGCCACCTACTTTACGAGTGCTTAGATGGTTGCTTGATGAAGTCACAGCTGAACGAGATAAGCGGAGTGAAGTTCCCCGGCGCGTTTGGAAGAGAACCTGTCGGCACAGTACGGAAGGCGTGGACGGCAGTGAGCATATTCGGACGTAGTGATTTGGACCTTGGAGAGAAAATAAGACTTTACCGGGAAGGAGCAATCTGCCTAGATGCCAAGTCTTTAGAGAAGGCTCTATTGCTTGCCTTTGACATGTGTACCACATGGACGGAATTCATTTGTAGCAAAAGCGGAATCAAGAAGCATGCACCCGTAAGAAGCTATGATGTTCAGAAGATGTATGACGACGCACTGAAAGCGGTGAAGTTGGAGATTGCTTTAACGGAAAAGAGTCAAAGACCAAGGAAGGAAGGCCCAGTAGCGTTTCTGGCGCCTAAGTGCGCAGCAACACTGGAAAGGGATGGGATGAGATGCGGTGTAATGACCAAAGTGATCGTACAGTATAGCCAGCTGAAGGAAGAGCTTGAGAAATTGAAGAATTTTCGCGTATGGATTATTGTCTGGCCAATAGACACCAGAAGAGAAGACGAGGCCATTACTGGAGCAGTTGTGGCGTGCAAGAAGTATCTGGAGGAGGGCGGTCTTATAGTATCGGTTTGGCCACCGGTAATAAGCAATAAAGCCCATATTTGGAAAGTTATGACGGAACTTTGGACGCTCCTAGACTCCACATTGAAAACATACGCTGGGCCAGACCAGCTCATAACTTTAGCGACAGCGAAAATTGAAGACGGAAAAATATTTATGGAAGCAGGCTCACCAGAATGTAGTTTTCAGTTTTATTCGACTTATCGTGGAGTGGCTTATGCGCGCTATTTGTACGACACCATCAGGAGGAGAGCCCCGGGAGCAGAACTGCAGGAACTGTCGCCACGGCCGCCGAGGACGCCGGCTCCCCGGAGGGGAGGAGTGTCAGATCGAGTAGATCGGGATTTTACTGTTGGCGGGAAAAAAGCCCGCCTTGACCCCTTCGGCAGGATATAAATACCGGGAGTCAGGGGGAGGCCCCAGTCCGCGCTGGAGAAGCGCTAGAGGGAGCTAACTCCGTCGAAGAGAGGCGGATCTCCCCCTTAGATAGAGAGTTCTGATAGAGAGTTCTTCCTAGTAAACCTGCCGAAGTGGTCAAGAGGGTAAAGCCCATCGTTTCGTTGTAAGCCTTGTTCACGTTACGCATTATTGTTCTTGTTGTTCGTTGTCGTTTTTCTGAGATAAATTGTTAGTCGTTCAATCCGTGTTGTCTATCGATCCGGTTAAAACCGTTATACCACTAGACACCCCCGGTTACAGCCTTTATTTATTTGAGATGTTGCTAGGACACCAAGAAATTTACAACAAGAGACTAGCTGAGTATTCGACTTGTTTAGTTGCACCTTTCAAGGCTTCAGTGGTTAAAGGCAGTGTCTCACCAAAATTTAGTTGCCGAGATTTTTGCATTTTGCAATCCTGTCGGACCCTGTCTAGCACTGTATGGGCTCAAAATCGCACGAAGTTCCCAAAAACCAAGTTTTCTGGAGGTTCCGCGGAAGCAACAAGGAAAGTTGTGCCTTCCAACTCCAGCCTCAGCCACAGTGGCAGCAACAGAGGGGAGGTGGATGCCAGGTGGACGGACATGTTCAAAGCGTAAGGGGGAGACCGAAGGAGTCGTCCGCGCGTACCAAGTCGCTCTCCGCGTACCACTTTGAGCGAATTTTTCTTAGCGTGGAGGGGGTCAAATTGAGTGGGACTTGTTGCAATAACCTATTAAGAGGTCCCTATAATAGAATATGTGAAGATCCGCGCGACCTCAACTTTGGTGAGACACTGCCTTTAAGCCTTAAGTAGACACCATTTCTTGATTAATGCTCAGTAAACCTGGAGTTGGAGTAACAGGCTGATTAACGTGATCCTAACATTTAATCATACAGAAGACTCTAATGCACGTCATTATATAAAATCATAGCTTGGAGACATGCTATAACAAAGGTAATAGCCTTGAACATCTTTGGAAAATGGAAAGCAGCAAGTTGATGGTAGATTTGGTAAAGAGATTCGAAAACCAGAATAAAAATAAGGATTACAAATGCGGCAAATTTTAGTAGCACAAAACTCCCTGATACAGTAATAAAATGCTATCGCTAAAATGCTGCTAAAATGTTGTTGCACTGTGAATCTGAGTTGAGACCAGTGCCGCTTCAAATTTTGAGGTAAAAATTTACATGCAAAGCTATCTGATTTTTTTTCTACCTCAAGATATCGATTAATGTAAAATGAGCGTATGATGTGATTTTTATATTGTGTAGCTGAGTTCCTAACTCAGGGGCTCATTGACTTTGATGCCAGGGACTCACAATGTGGGGCATCCTTTGTATATAGAAGAGTGAATGATTGCGAACAATGGAATTCCACTATAGAAAGCACCGTTTTACTTTATGCTTTCAGGAAGGTGAAACAACGAAGACCGTGGATAGAGCTACTTCTGTTTCTGTAAGAATTCAAAAATTTCACAGTCTACCAAAGCGTTATGAATTTTTTAAGGAAAGTCAAAGCAGTTTCAAGACCGCTGAAAAGCAACCTTATGTATGTAATTGCATTGTTAAATGCATATTTTGGTAGTCTATGGAACATTGCAGGAAGTTGAGGGTTTGAACACAGCACGACTGGATTCGTACAGGACAGTATGTTTTGCTTTCTCTACCTACAACTTTGCTCAAAAGATGGTCATATTCGTTACAGGAACCCGCACTTCTTACAACAGCGAGAAAATACTCGTCTAGAACTGTACGTTTTTGGCAACAGCTACTAAGATCACTTCCAAGTACATATATATATGACACAGATAATAAAGTTCCATTAATTGCAGGGTGAATCAAGCCAAACGGCTGGAGCTACCTCTGTTTCTGTATGTTTCCTCGCTTCCATCTGGAAATATACACGAATTCTCAAAATTTTAGGACTATCTAAGCAGCTTGAAAACTGCTGAACAGCGTACAGCCGTAAATTTCTTTACTCTACTTAGTTTGGTGAACTTTTAGGCTTCTGGAAAACATTTTTAGGAATCAGAAGGTTTGAGGACTGCGGAAAGATTCTCCTCTTTAACTGTGAGTTGTATTACCACAATATTCTTATATTTTGAGCTGCTTTTTAGGCAGACCAAGCTATGAGAACTGCAAGAGAATCACTTGTGAACCTTTTTCTCATATTTTGAGTTTGTGACTGATGACATTACAATATCTTCTGGAATTTCAGGAGGATGGTGCGATTGTATCTGGAGGAACAGATGCGGTAGTAAAGGTCAGGCGTAAATCGGCCCATTGTTTTTCAAGTTATAAAACCGTGGTTTTAGGTCGGAGAAACCGTGGATGTTATAGAGAGATACATTCCTGTGAGTTCGATTTCCGTGTCATTCTTCTTAAGCTGAGGATCGAAATCCAACCTGAACGCAATCAACTGTGCTGTTAAAAGCATACTATCTGATATTAGTAATAGAACGCGACATGTTAGTACCAAAAGATACTTAGAACAAAATACTGTTGATCAAAGTTGCTACGAGATAAAATTTAGTAGATTTGTTTCTCTGCAATAATCTATTATATTTAAATCAGACTACTAGCCACCTACAGCATCACTCTCATCATTACATGTCCTATCAAGATCGAACAAGCACGCTCAAATTCCTTTCTGGGAAACTTTCACAGATAACGAAATTAGGGACCCGTCATACTTCGCCGAAAAAAGCCCAAAAGCGCCCAAAAAAGCCCAAAAGCGCCCAAAGAAGCCCGAAAAAGCCCAAAAAAGCCCGAAAGCGCCAGAAAGAGCCGGAATGTAGAAACGAACTTTTGATGGAATTCTGACATTATCTTATCATGCGGACGACACAAAATGACAAAAAGGCTCGATTGCGAAGTCAACACACATGCCTTAGCGCCAAAACGTGCGAGAAGTGTTCCGGCTCTTTCTGGCGCTTTTGGGCTTTTTTGGGCTTTTTCGGGCTTTTCTGGGCTTTTTCGGGCTTCTTTGGGCTTTTTTCGGCGAAGTATGACGGGTCCCTTAGAGATCACCGTTTGAAGCAAACGTCTTGGTATGCGCCACACATCAAAACGCTGTGAAAAGTGTTCTTCCCACATCAAATCAAGTGATGCAAAATATTAACTTAAGTTTTCCAGGCTGACGAGGTACGCACCGCTACCATGGCTACCACTTCGGTAGGTATCTATTCACACCCAATAGTATATAATGCAAGCCAAAACCTTAGCTCTTTGCTCCCGCGCATTCGAATCAAACGCACTCAGAATAAATGTAGCTGTCTTTTTTCTGCAAGTTCACTCATGTGCTGTTTTCTGCCTTATTCAATATCTCTCTCCGTTTTTCCTCTGACTTCGCTGAGAGATAGCAATGCGAGGGTATTATCTGATTTATGAAAGAAAACTGAAATGTGCAAGATTTTTGAAGACATAGTGATCTTGTTATTTTTTTGCATATAACTATCTTCAGATGAGGACCCCCGGTGGCAGGAAGAAGAAGACTATTGTGGTAGGTGTTTTTCTGGAAAACACAAATATTGCGGGCTGTTTGTAACCTAGCTGCTACATTGTTCCATAAGTTGATAATGTTACTCATTCTCTTAGTCTTATTTTTGTCGTCGCCTTCTTAGCGTTAATTCAAAAGGATATAGTGTATCGTCTGCGCCCAGAGAGGTTCCCATAGGTACCACGTCATCTCGCTGCCTTTCGCACTTTTGAACGTGTTAACCTCGGGCACTTCCGTTGAAATCTCAGGAGAAACGTGTCAAAAAGAGCGAAAGGCAGCGTCGCACCACGTACGCACGGTTCACATGGGAACCTCTCTGGGGCGCAGACGGTACCTTCAGAAACGCTTCCTTTGCTATATACAAGCATTTTTTCAAGTCCTTTTTACTTAGACTCCCCCTAACAGAAGACTCTGCTAAAGATTTGATTTTATGTTTGCGAAAACGAACTTACCTGGAAAGTCACCCCATCGCCAGCTTGTTCGTCTAGCTGATTACATCTATCGTCTGCTTAACTTCACAGAAGTATTCTAAGTTTGTGATGACGGTCACTGCATAACCAACTTTTGCCGTTGTTTGGCTCACTCAAAATTTTTGTTTTCTCGCACCTATACCTTAAGTTCAAAAGTGAAAGGCGCACGGTTTTTGTTCTGAAATCGACCAGTCCAAATCCGTCAAAGAATTTAGCGACGCACCTTCTATCGTGATACGCTACTCAAGAGAATCGTCGACATAGTGATTTTTTGAGGCACAGCGAAAGCTGAGGTGCTCGCATTGAAAAACGAAGAAAATGCCTCTTGTACTCTTGAAGTTAGGACACTCATGACTTTCTCACATTTTGCCTGACAAACTTGCACACATCCAATCTGTCTTTATAGGAAAGAGAGATCATCGAAAGGCGCCAGATCGAACGAATTGAGACTGTAAGTGTTTTTGCAAAAAAAAACAAATCAAAAGCCTAAGCTAATTTTCCAATGTTGCTAACCAGGAAAGTACTGTTAGTCGAAATTGCCGTTAGAATATGATGACGTCTGCCAGTCGCAGTATAGTTGACTGCACGGAATCGCCCGGACAGAGCGCTCGCGCGCACGTCTCGTGCGCGCTAACATTGGCATTCGAGCGCATGAGTCATTATAGCAGCATTCTGGGCAATTTCGTGCAGGCAACTTCATCAGTCGCTGACCATGAATTTTATCCATCTGCGGAACGCTTTCTGAAAAATTGTGGAGCTAAAGTGACCGCCAAGACGCATGTCGATGGAAACCTGTTGAACTTCAACTATCTATGTATACTGCAGGCGCCCAATTAAATGCACCGTCCACCTAAATAGATTCTCGACTCCCATGTTTTTGTCGTTCCGGGGCCTTATCTGGTATTGATCTCGGATGGGGGACTATATATCACCGAAACGGCCCCCGCGGTCATTTGCAACAAATATGCACCCTCGCACATGCAAGGAGGTGCGTCTTTGCAAGAAGTTCGCGCGGACCTCCCACATTCGGCGACATACCGTCCTCTACCCGATCTGCGAAAACCGCGACAATCCTCCTGCGAAGAACCCGCAAGACATGTTCTCCGGAGTAGCGATTGAATGGGCGAGCGCGGGAGGGTGGGATTAGAGGAGCGCCCACTGATTTGAAGCGTCGTCCGAGCACTGCCCTCTGTTTTTAGTCTACCTTGAAACGATTTTCTCGCTTCAGAATGCGCCTCTCGATTAGATTTGAAATGTCCGTAAGTCAGCCGTGCTCTCGCAATGCGACAAGATCCGAAAGTCAAAAAGTGAACTTCAACCGCGTCATTTGGGCACTAGAGTGAATAACGCTAAGATCGACTAGTCGACTATATCAACTAGTCGAACTTAATGAGGAGTTGGCTTTATCATTTATTGCTGAGCAACATAACACCGTTACAGACGTCAACTTTGACTGAATAGTACTTTTTTGAGTTAGCAATTTGGAAAAGAGGTTTTGGAGAATTTTTTTTAGGATGAGGAAGAAGGTGAAACTGGAGAATCGCAAAGCAAAGTAGTGAGTTATCAAGGCACTTCGCGATAGAATCGTGCGTTTAGTTTTCTGAGTTCCTTTCGCGACAGAATTATGTCGCTGAAAGCAATAGTGGATTCGACGCTTTTACTCACATTGAAATAAAATTGATTTGCCTGGGTCTTAAGGATATACCTATCTTTCCCAGCTTGCACAGACTTAGCGCAGTATAAGTATGGGGTTAACTGCTTGACAGTTTCCCAGTTAAAATGGTTAGGACTGTCCTAGGCTCACAACTTGCGTTACAGACAAGCGAGCTAACTTCGGGATCCGCGAGGCGTACAACTCGGACTCCAGTGGTAACTACTAAGACTTCGTTTTTACTGTTCACTCATTATATGCCTTAGGATAAGGAAGTCATCGAAAGACGAGAAGTACGAAGAATTGCACTTGTAAGCATGCATTATTTCTTGTGTGTGACTGTTGCAAACAGTGGTATACTGCACAATTAGGCGTGCTAGCAACGTCTTCATAGCCTCTTTCCACTGTATTTTTTATCAAAATACTTTAGGATGATGATGACCGTCAATCCATGCAAGCAGTAGACAGTCGGCGCCGCGTACGTTCACTTTTCTTTCCTAATCGTCGTAGTCCGACAAAAATTTGAAATTTTCTAATTTGTAAAGTCTGTTGCTAGGCTCTGCGCTCTTTACGCACAGATAAAAGCTTTTAGGAGGAACTCATACCATTGGCAGCAGGTCTCGATCCGGTACCACCGTTAGGTGCATATGTAAGTATTTCAATGCTAAGTACTTATATTTTCCTTGGCCATTTCACTTTGATGGTGCAGCAAATTACTACTTGGCAAAGCGTCCAGCAATTCGACACTGCAACGCAACAAATGGATCAGTCATTCAGCTGAACGAAGTATAGTCGCAAATGATGAATGCAGCGTTGAAAATATGGCTGCGGCAATGCCGCTTTTCTGCTATCTTTTACAGTGGTACCGTCGAATTAAGGGTAACTCACAAGCTGTTGAAAAGTTTAGGAGGGGAAGCCGCATATTTTTCGCTCAACTTTGTTCGTTGTCGCTTACGAAGTTTTAGACAAGTTGCTTACCACTTCCATTTTCCCCTGCATTAACTGAGTGATGAGTCCTGCAAACGTTTGCTTTGCATTCATCAGGATCGTTTACTTCGTAATTACTACACGACTGAAGTGCGAGTGCATGATGATGAAGAAACAATTGGATTTTCAAAGCCCTATCATTAATGCCTTTCCACAAGCAGCGAATGCTTACAGTATGTTCCAATCGGGATCAGGCCGAACAGTTGGCATAAATTTACGCGCTCGCAGCGCTACGGTTTGCTCTGCATATGGCACTGTCGATGAGAGTGAAGAGATTCAAGAGAAAGAAGACAAGCAGTAGGCGTGGCTAAAAATCCTAACGGCGCGGACTCCCGCCATGCCAACTTTGGGATTGGGTTGGGACAGACTGTAAACGCGTTCTTGTCAAGGGCTTTTGCAAAGGCGTTTTAGCTTGACTGATACCCACTTCAATGTCCCCTTTGTTTATCTATCGCACCTCTCTGCATGTCGCCCACCCCTTTCTCGGCGAAGAGTGGATAGAGGACAAATGCAATAAGACTGAAGAAAAAAACAGTTGCCAGTAACGAGTTGACCGTAAGGGCAACATTGGCGAACTGCTGAAAGTTTGTAAAATCTGCAGTACCCCTTTCTACTCATGCTAACTTCTAACTGTGATGTGGCCTGTATCGCAAAATTGTGTCGTTAGTGGTACATTAATACAGAACTCTGGAGAAGAGCGTCAAATTACTACTTGTCCCAAAAGCTTGTCCTTTTTCACAAAATCAAGCTGTTTCTGTTTTCCCAGTAAACTTAGGATATCATTCGATGGAATAGATCAAGCTCTATAAAATGTCAGCCAAGGGTCCGCTTAAATCGCATACCATGGAAAGCAAAAATCGAAAAAAAATTTTGTCACCTAAAAATTGGATTTCTGCGACAAAGAATCCAACAGACCTCCAACTTGGTCATTATACAGTATTCATATAGTAGTACTCATATATGCTTTTACCGAATCTTTTCTGAGCATAGAAAGCGAGAAACAAAAATTGTCCAAAAATGCAAACTCCGCCCCAGCCCCTCCCACATATGTCATTGTATGCTACAAGCCTTACTAAGTATAATTTCAAAACCTTACCACTGTATTTGCTCTTATAAACGAGATACCAAGCTTTACATTGAAAACCCGAAAAAAAGTGGCATTTTGGCGTTTTCGGACCATCTCTTTTTCTCAATTTTGAGCCCCGAAAAAAATGCGCCAAATACATTTTTGGGTGCTACTCTGTGTCTACTATATAAAGACCAAATTGGAAGTCCGTAGGGTTTTCTGGAACGAGATCCGATTACTAGCTGAAAAATTGCTTTTTGGCCTCAAATTTTACCTGGATTACGATTTAGATGGATCTTTGGTGGTCTTTTTGTACAGGGTGCGGCAAAAGTCTGGGAGCCTAGTACTTTTTCGTACAAAACGAGAAGGGAAGTACCTAGAAAGGAAAAATTTGGCGCACACATAATTCGAACCATTGCAGATACAGCCCAGTTCTTGAATCGCAAAACTGCCTCTTTTGGCTTCCGCGCAGCCCTACAAAATCTTGGCAAGTCCACCTGTCATGGCACGCAGGTAGTCGTAATGGAATTCGCCCCACGCCTTCACAATGACTGCATCTTTTATCTTGGCAAATGCGCAGCGTGATAGAGCAAACTTTTGTCTACAACATACTTCCAAAAGAATTTTTTGCATTGTTTAGGAATAAAAAGATTGGATTTTCAATTAGAAGCACGTGTACGTCGCATACCAGAATTTTGGTACAATTGCGCGAATAAAAACTTAAAAATATCGTTTAAAAAGTATAAAAAGTGTTCCCATGGCCGAATTTCAATAGATTCTAATTTAGAAGACGTATGCAATAAATACAGCCTTGGTTCCAGTGCCTGTTGAGCATTCTATAGCTTTTAAATTTGTTTTGAAGACGGATTTCCACTGGCACGTAGGTAACATGTGCAAACTTTTATTTTCCGTTCATGCAAGAGCAGCTCCTGGGAAAAGCAAAACTAGGATACAATAGCGAAAAGCCTCTTCTATGTTGCGTGCAGCGAAGTTTTGTAAAATATTAACAGCATCTCTAGTTACAGCAAAAATTGTAAACACCAAAAATTCTGGTTTTTTCGCTTTGCAAAAGTACTAGTTTGGTAATTTCCATTCTTACAAAAACATATGGCAACCATTTCCAGCCAAATAAAGTGTATTCTGTAGAGGATGGACGCAGCATCATGTGGCATAAAATTGGATTCAAAACCATCAGTATCTTTGTGATTGCAGTACTGCAAAGTTAGGCTCCCAGACTTTTGCCACACCCTGTAGAACTTGCTCCGCTCTATCGAGTGGTGCCCTAAGTCTGTCATGAAAACAAAAACAGCTCAATTTATCTGAAAATAAATTTTACATTCGGGAAAAACCTAATATTTCAGACTAGTGCTGATCGGGAAACTCAACTACGTCAGGAGGGCTACTTCGATGTAAGTTTATTCACTTTGAACATGAAAAACCACAGAACCAATCAACCATCATTCCATAAGTTTAGAACAAAAATACGGATCCAGGATACTACGCTCCTACGGTACCTTCAATCTGATCTTCCATCAAACGTAAATGTAAATGTTAATGCTAATTTGATTACAGGGTATTCAAATTGCTGAAGACATGGTGGGAATGTTTCCACATCAACCTTTTTTCTACCTTTTTATCGTTAAAATATCCTTTTCAGACTGAGGAACCAAATCTTCGTACTGTATGCAAATTTTTCTGGAATATGTCGCATGGACTAGAATATCATAGTTTTACATTTTCAAAATAAAATGAACCTTTTCTAGGCCAAAGAAGCATTTTTCACGGCCGCTGCTCCTACAGAATATTCGGCTAAATCACCAACGCCAAACTTGATGTGGGAACAACAATTATCTGTATAGTCCGCTTATTCTACGAGTACATGTCTTTAAATTTTAGCTTTGGTCCCACCGACCAGAGTGCTGACACGAAGGCTGACGACACTGCTGGTTTGGAAGCACAGGCTACACAAAGTTGGAGCCTAATTCCATTCACGCTACAGAATAAAATTATCATTTTAGTTGACCGCTATCGTTACCGTTTTGTTAAACCAATGGTTGTGCTGGCAGATATTAATGGAAAAGTTTACCGACTAACTACGCATTACACAATTGAGGTATGATCTTGATAATAGGAAACGAACTGGACAAGTAAATGAGTCATGAAAGTAAAGAGATAAGCTAAGTACTGAACTGCCCTACATCGCTAGGGAAGGGTAACTACTACGATGGGGGTACTGTCTTGGATGGCATAAAACGCTAATCCTAAGTCTGCTTTCCTTACCAGCGAAACTTTTTGGACGAGGAGTCAAGCGTTTTTGGTGCAAAACTGAATGGTGGCTAGGGCAAGCCTTATTCGACAGTTAGAATGTTTAGCGACTAGCCTTGATCCTAGTTGCGCATATTCTGAGTCACAGTGAAACCGAGTGGCTATGAGCTTTGAGGAAAGAGAATCGTAAGCCATTCTGAAAATCAAAAAGCAAGATGTTGGCATTTTTGTAAGCTTTGACTCGCATTTCCATATTCTCAGGAAGACCTAGAGGTGATAGGAATCAAAGTCCCCGCCAAAATGCTGTAGATCTATGTGACACACATCAAATCCTTGACTATTACAGACCGATCGACCAAATCTTGACTTCAAACCGTTGACTATCAAATTTGATGGGCAGCTACTATGGGAAAAATGCGCTGAATTATCACAAAAGATAGATCTTGACTCGGTACGTTGTGACATCATATTAGTTTTTTTTTGTGGAAATTCATCTTCAGGTAACAAGTTGCTCTACCGGTCATGGTACAGTCACAGAGAAAACCCCAATACAGTCGGGTTGAAGAAGTTTGATGGTACGATAGAGAATGCAGTTTTTATTCAGCTTGCACGTACTTATCCGATTTCTGTGAATAAAGTTTATTACCGGTGCAGCGCATAAAGTTTTGAAAATGCTGTGTTTGAAGACACACCAACATGGATGTTTAAGGAACACTATAAAAAATAGAAGTTTTGAACCTCACAACAATGATGTTCTGCAAAGTAATTTAGGATATCAACATGTTCAACTCTATGGTAATCTGCATGCCATCGTTTTGACGTCAAAGGCTAGTACTGGAAAGCGGGTGTTTATCTTTGCGATGAGAGCGCGGACGCGACGGTCGCGCACTTTCATCACTAGAGTGCATAGAAAGCTCACGATAGAGGTACTGTCGCCAGCACCTCGCCTTCGCGCGCACTTACGCCATGACCGGTAGTAATCTACCCTAACTGGTGGCATCAAAGATGCCGGCAAGTAGGCAAACATCGCGGGGAAGTTGCCATCTCCGGCGGCAGCTCGCGGAGTGCTTGTAGGTTTTGATAATCTTATGTAACCTTAGCACGCAATCATTTCGCACATTAAATTTTGATGACGCAGACAGCGCAAAATTGCTACCCCGCGCGCGGTCGAACCTATGTGCGTTAACTTGAGGTGCCACCATGTTAACCATTCAACCATTCGTTCAGCCATTGACGTTTGCACCAGCAGTGGGAGGAACGCATTGGTAAATGGCTGCCTTTAAGAGGGATCGATGCATTGCGTGAGAGACTTTGACTTGAAAGAACAGCTGATTGATATGAGCGAGAGAGGAGCGAAATCGGTGCAAACGAGGTTTATAAGGGATTGCAAAAAAAAGATGGTGTTCTTTATGATTCTAAGGCATTACCGAATTTTCTCTCTGTAAGAAAATCGTCGTTTCGAAAAAGAAAAACTCATATAATGAGAAAAATGATATTTTTTTGATGAAAAGTAGAATTTTTGATTTTTTTCGCCTGACGTAAATTGTGTGATATCGCCGCAACTCGCAAACTCGCAGACGCCGTCGGCAAAGGTGCCAGCACCTCGACGTGGTGGGGGCACGTCGAGATGCCGGCAGCTTCCTCTCTCAAAAGAGCACGCTATTTCCCGTGCTCTCCGACCTGCCCGCAGCTGCGATCTCGCGGATTTCGACGAGCTGCCGGCAGGTTGCCGGCAACTGACCTCGCGAAGTTGCCGGCAGCTCCTCCTGCGCTTCCAAACATTTTTCTACAGGAATATTTCTGGAACCGCAAATTTCGATGGAGGTTTCTGTAGGGTCGAGGTGGCATCTTCATCAAGAAATTTTTTTGGAAAAAGGCCTGGGAGGGCCCAAATTTGGGGTTTTAGTTTCTAGCCACCTCACGGAAAGTTGCCAGCGATCTGCCGACGAGACCTGCCGCCAGGTCGGGGGGATTACTACCGGCCGTATGTAAATTCGCCTTAAACTAGGCTTCAGCTAGAGAATTTGCGGAAAAAAATAAAGCCATTTGGGACTTGTTTGTTTTACAGAACAAAGGTCAAGCTCGAACACGAGAGCCTTTGTATGAATGAAACTTCACTACTTTCGAAACGGTACTCACAAAAACGGAGACGCACTGACATCCGCCTAAATCGTACGAACAGACAGAGTTCTGCACGAAGAAGGATGTCTCCCTTTGCAAAATCAAATCTTGATTGAGAGATAGACAAGACTAGACAACACCTACAGGTAGCTAGGCAGATCTAGCATGTGAAATTCCCTTGGAAACTGACTTTGGCTCCAAAGGCAGAGGCTCTTCAATCTTCAACCTAAAATTTTTTCTTGCTCAAATGCTGTAATCCGACGCATTGATCCAAATAATCACCTTATAGATCGCCAAAGTGGCGAAAACCACCATTTTCCAAGGTTCTCCATTAAATTTGGGGATTGAAACAGTTTCCGCCAAGGTTGAAGACGCAGAGTAGTTGCGAGCTCACGCTTGCACATGCCGCCTCCTTCGGTAGCAGAAAAATTGTGAGCTCGTTTAAGCGCCTATAAGAGTGGTCCGTGGTTTGGGGGCAGTTTTTTTTGGCAAGAGGAGCATGCTTACGACCGGATTTGATCCGTTGCCATATTTGGGGTGTTTACAACTCAATTTTGACGAGCCACTGCCGCAGTGTCAAAGCGGCCGCGCTGCTGATTCAACCACGGCCAATGAACCTATTGCCAAATCTGTCTCCAGGCATCAAGCAGATGACTTGCACCTTCTTGCACGCTTATGCGCAGTAGAGATCACGGGAATGATACTTGCACGAAGCATGCAAGAGAGTCACCCCCCCCCCCGAACAGCATTGAGATGTCTTTGGAGATGGATCTTTCGGCCGTGGACGAATCATCCGCGCTGCCTAAACTTTAAGTCCGTTATAGCATTACTTTATAGCATCTGTTATAGCAGTTTACTTTATAGCATCTGTTTAAGTAAGCATTAGTTTAAGTCCGCGCATACTAAACGCGATCTCTGTCGGGGGAGGGGGAGGGGAGGAATGTAAAGGATGGAGCATTTTATCAAGTTATATTTTGCACGCGATGTAGTTTCAGTCTGCGAGTGTTGCATATAAAGAACGTGACAGTATGCCAGATTGTTTCGCGACTGAAATCTTGTAAAGTATGCCCAATCGTATTTCTACATTAGTTTTTGTTGTGTGTCTTCCCGACCGATAGTAATCTACTCTACCTGGTGGCATCATAGATGCCGGCAAGTTGGCAGATATCGCGGGAAGTTGCCAATTCCGGCGTTAGTTCGAGGAATGTTTCTACGTCTTTGGTAGTTTCATGCGTAGTTTCTTCATAGTTTGTGTGATGAAATGTTTCTACGTCTTTGGTAGTTTCATGTGTAGTTTTTTCATAGTTTGTGTGATAAAATAGTAAGCAATTCAAGTAACCTAATATCAGAATCCGAGAGATTTTGTACACCCTACATATTCATAATTTGAGTCTAAAAAAACGTTACGGTCACCTGCTCGAGTCTTGAGATGATTTTGACGGGTAGTTTGCTTATGAGTTCAACAGTTTCAAACTCTGAAGCTAACGATATAACCGAAAGTCTAATAAAAGATTATCGATTCCGGTTCGCAGTACAACAAGTCAATACAAAATAGCAGACATATGACAAGCAAGCAAAAGTGCTGGAAACGAACTCGTATCCCCAATGGGGCTGCGCCAGACTGAGCCAGAATTCACCGAGTACGTCACCCATATTGTGAGCAACCAATGCTCGCACCGGTACAGTGTGTAGACTGTTTTGTACGTAGTCCCGAAGGGAAATCGAGCTGCAAGACTATATCATGATAGGGGCCAGACCGCGCAGCATATGCGACTAGAAGCACACGCACACGTGCACAGAGATATGGGTGTATGCTGCTACATTACGCAGTGTACGCTGCGAAGTCTAGTCTAACCCATACAGCATTTCTCATACAGCGTCCTCCAACGGCATTAGAAGCTCTTTCAGATAGATACTTCAATTCTGGTTCTTCTATGATAAAATGATGCATAGTGTGCAGCACCGGTCCAAAGTAAAACGAAGACAAGTTTCTATCTTCCCTAAATAGCTTTTTTTTCGATATTATTGCATGGGAATGTATAGTAAACTATAAGCCATTTGAAAAATTGTGACGATGGCGCGACCGCTACACGCACGCCACTTCCGGAAACCGCATTTTCTTGGTTTTCATTCCTATTCGAATGGGGGGGGGGGGGGAGGGTTTGCTTCGTATGATAGTATTTGGACACTGAAAGTGAATGAGCTGAGCGTTGAGGTGATGTTTTCTTATATGAGCGTTTTATGCTCTTGTGGGCATGATGTCCGCAGTCAAATCCGTCGTCACGATAGATGACCTATACTTATCTCTACATATATAAAACTCAAAAATTGTCTTTTTGGAGGATATGTGCTCTATTGAAACGCCCACGGCTGAACCGATTAAGCTGAGACTTTGCACACAGATGTTTTTCACCTTGGAGACGGTTTTAGGCTATTTTTTGGAAAAATTCGTTGGGTCCTTTCATTGATTTATTGATTTGCCTACTGACTTCTAAAAAATGAAAGCTTGCAGCACTATCAAGTCATTTCACCACAGCCATGTGAACGGGGACGGTAGATCTCATTTTTACGCGGTGGTTAGGCAGCATGCGGTGACTCTCGTGAGCCGCTTAGTGGATCCCTCTATTCCTAAAATTTTCTCGCACGGTGTATTCTGTGCATGAAAGGAGGGCAAAGCAAGGTGGTCGGGTGGAGGCGAAGCGCAAGACAGCGGAGAGGTAAGTTCTGCCATTTCACTCGGGAGTGTGTACGGTTTGGCTACCCAGTTCCATGTGAAACCAGGTATGCCAGCTATAATATATAAGCGGGGGGGGGGGGTTCGCAGTGCAGGTGAACAATGGCCCGGGCTGGACCGAGAAAGTTAACTAGTGGTGAATAAGTAGCGGCAACCTTGGCTTTCGTATGTATTAGTCATGGATTGAATGTTATCTTGAGCTCTGGTTTTGATGTCTGAGAGGATGATTCACTTATACATTCACTCCGAGCTCTGGATGGCAAAAAGCTGAAACGATGGCCGGTAGAATAAAAGTTGATAATCTTGGAAGCTGCTTAAACAGAAGACATAGCAGTATTTGATTTAATGCCAAAATTACTAAACAGCCGAAGTTAGACAAATTTACAAGAATAATAGTAATATAAAAAGCCTACAATTCCAAGGACCGTATGCACGTACATCCCCCGGAGAGGGAATGTGCGTTCCATTGAAATGAGCCCTGCTGGGGCTCTCCTTCCCCTCCCCACGCGAACACCCGTATGCACAAAGACAATATGGGAGAAGGAACCCCTGGGAGTAGGGGAAGTGAACCCCCTTATGCACAAAGGGGATCGAGCGGGGAAATCACTTCGCTTCCGCTATTCTGTAGTAATCCTCCGTTCTCACCTTTGAAAGCTAGTCGTCTTTATTTTGTCATCGGCAATTCTTCAGTCTTGCGGTATGCGTGTCTGCTGTGATTGCGCTCCGCGCACCAAAAATAATAATTCTTGCGCCCATTAGATTCCTGCTGTTTTATGAATGTTGCTCACATTCTTATGCCGCCCATTTCAGCGTAAAGTTG